TGGCTATATACCTAAATTTTTTCGCGAATCCATTTACTTTCGCGAATCCATACACCAGACCCATTGCTGCGCAATGGGTCTGAGAGGCGTTTCTAGCCCAGACGAGTAGGCGGTGCTCTCCACCAAAACTACTGATTTCCAAAACCGCAGGTGGAGGAGTGGATGCATGTTCCCGGACTTGCGAATCTACTTCCAGGATCCGATAGCAGACTGCAGCACACGCACAGTTCTGGTGGAGGGCAGAGCGGATGGCATATTGTGGGCAGAGGCAAAAAAAAAGGTTGAGCACGAGAACGCGAAGAAATTATCCAGGCGTAGGCAAACATGTGGTCGAGATGCTGTTTTCTTTATCCATTTCCCTGTGACGGATTGCTTTGTTCAAAGCGTCCAGGAACCGGGCAACCTCAAGTGGAAGCGAACTCAGCACAGGCCAGGGCCGTCCCTTGCACTTTTCGCGTGGGCAGGCCCGGCTCGCTTTAGCGTGGACCCACCCAATTGAGCCCCGCCCGAGAACGGTGGTGGAACCCTTCCAGGGCAGGGCAGGGCAGTGCTGCACCGGTGCAACCTCCTATCAATCAATGGAAGTTGTCCAATCAGCTGCTCCACGCCATCCTCAACCCGTGCCGTCCCCCGTCGTCGTTCCCAATGCTCCTCTGCCCTTTCCAATCTTTTTGCCCAGCAGTCTGGAATGGAAGCAACCGCCAGGCGCCCAGTGTTCCTGCCCTCTGGTGCCCCCGTGTGCATGTGCCTGTGCTTGTGCTTTCCCACTCTGTAATCTTGGCGCTTGTACTTCCAGGCATCTCCTCTCTCGAAACAGGAGAGGGCACGAAGCCCGATCTCCAAGACTTCCACTTCGCCCACTGCAGACTCAATGTCCTTTCCCCGTCCCAAGCCCTGGGAATTGCCAATTGACCCAGGTCGACACTAAGACAACCTAACATCGACGACGACGACGACGGGAACGGCCAAGACGACGACAACGACAGCGTCAACAGAATACTGTGATGCAATTGAGAGTGGACAGGGACTGCCCGTTGAGTGACGCCCGTCCAATAAGAAAAGATACCTCCTGAGGATTTGCCCGTCATCTGCGGCGATCCTGTGGTGCCTCATTTCCACGCTTTTACACGACCACAAAGCCGCGACCACAATAACATCTAATCAATACGATCACAACACCACCGTCTTCTCATTCTCTCCCTTTTACCCTCAAGCCTGGTCTTAGGCTCGTACACTCATTTTTTTCCAGTTCTATCAGCAATACGCATGTTCCCAGCAAGCGCATCTGACTTGCGACTACTTTCGGGGCTTCTCTCCTTTCAACTCCACCCCCAAATCCTTGTTACACCATCTGACCGTCGACAAAGCTTCAATTGGCAACGCAATACCTAGGCGCCAATCTACCACCACCCTCTTCGCCGCGTCCTGAGGACGCTGGCAGTTCCTCGTCGACGACGCTGCTCTTGGTTTTCACCTATTCCGACTTATAATATCCACCATGTTGCGGCCCGCGACACCCCTCGCGGTGCTGCTCTTTGCAGCATTCGCGCTGCTCACGCTGGCCACCATATCCACGCCAATCATCAAGCAAATCCCCTTGAGTAGCTTCAAGATCAAAGATGTGGGCGATTTGAGCTTTGGCGTTTTTGGTTACTGTACCTCAAGCGGCTGTAGTCCTATAGAAATCGGCTATGATACCTGTGAGTTGTTGCCCGGGTAGTGTCTCGCTCCATGTCACACTTCAATGTTCTGTGTCAAGTACTAATTCTTACAGCCGCCTTCTCTGATGACAAAATCAACTCGGACTTCGACATCCCCAGGGCAACCCGTTCTACACTTTCAAGTATTTTGATCGTGCACCCAGTCGCTGCCTTGATCACCCTAATCAACTTCGTCCTTGCTATTGTGGCCCATTTTCACTCGCCCTCCCATTCAGCGCGGTACCTCCTGATCCTATTCATTGTCAGCGTCATTGACTTCATTGTCTGCCTGTTGTGCTTCCTCGTCGATGTGTTGCTCTTCATTCCACACTTATCATGGGGCTCTTATATTGTCGTCGCCGCTACCATCCTTGTAGCGTTTTGCAGCCTGGTAACATGCGCCATGCGTAGAACACTTGTCAACAGGAAGGCGAACAGGAAGCGCATTGCACAAAATGCTGAGATGAGTGGAGAGAACTACTATAACCGTCAAGCGCAAACTGCCCCAGTCACGCAGGTTACCGGCCCACAACCAACCGCACCCATGATCAGCGGCGCGAACGGCGGAGGCGACAAGCTGCCCGAATTCACTACTTTCGAGAAGAAGGACGACCGTAGCGAGGAAAGAATCCCACTTACGTCGGCTAGCCCCATCGATCGGCCACCAGCGACATTAGTCAACGATAGCACGCCACCCAGCCTTATGGATGGTGCGCCCTCTCGATCACCGTATAGCACGCCTGTTGGCCGAGACCAGTACGGAAACCCCCTGCCACCTCAAGATGGATATGCTATGAGGAACGGACCTCAAAATGAGCGTATGAATTCACGGGGTAGGGGTGGAATGCCTCCCGGAGGCTACCGTGGACGTGGTGGCTTTGCCGGACCTGGGAGGGGAGGTGGACCTCCGCCAAATGGACGAGGAGGCTATGGCCCACCGGGACGAGGAAGAGGAGGCTATGGTCCGCCGCCCCGCGGATACGGAGGTCCAGGACCACGGGGTGGCCGAGGCCCGCCGCCTCAAGGATATCAAAGCGGGCCGGATCGGAGGCCATCGCCAGGTGCTCCTTACGGACCTGGCCCTGGTGTGGGCGCCTATGGTCCCAGCCAACCATCTCCGTACGGCAGTAGGCAACAGTCCCCCGGTCCTCAATTTGCGCCGGGATACGGAAACCCCGAACAGCCAGGACCTCAGTATTCGGCATACAACCCGAGACGGGCCTCGCTCCCGAGAGCCGAGTCTCCTCCTCCACTCCCCGGCATCGATGACGACGTACCCGGCCCTGCTGTAGAGCTGGATGCTTCTCCCATAAATCCAGGCGTTGGACAGTACGGAATCAGGGACAGTGATTCAGATGTCGCTGGCATGTTGGCTATGCAGCAGGCCAGGGTTCCGGGCTCGGATCATGGCAATAACGCGAATTGTTATAGTCAAGAAGGGTAAGTGATGCTTCCAAGCAAATCAAGAGTGATGATCATTGCTGACCGACCAGACCCACCGACGTTTACGTGCCGCCCAGGCAAGCATGGAACCAAGGACCTGGGAGGAGCTCCCCAGGACTAGCGCCACCAGCAGCCCGTGGTCCAGCTCGTCCGATTTCTGAAGCCGTCACAGCTTCAGTGGCCAGCGATTATTACGAAGACGTCGACCCGCGGTTTTCTGAGCCTTCAGCCCCGGCCGCCACAGACAGAAAGCCACCGCCCGTCTCCATGCAGCCGCTCCCAGCATCCAACTCATACGACGATTTTCCCAACCGAGCTAGGAGCCCGGCTGAGTCCGAACGCTCTAACTTCACCTCGATATCCCAGCGGGGCATCAACCCGCGTTGGAACCCTGCCAATGCGCCGATGCCCCCTCCCGTAGCGGGCGGTTATGGAGGAGGAGGCGGAGGCAATGTGGTGCCTCGGCGGCCGGTTAATCGCCCTGCCGCTGGTCCTGCTGATGCCTCAGATCTGCTCCTCAACTCCAACCCGGATTTCCAACTCCCCGGGCGCGGTGGTAACATCCCTAGAGCGGCCGGTCCCCGGTAATGAACAATAAGCCGACATGAGTTATAAAAGAATAATTATGACTGTTGGAGCGAGGGGTGGACTTGCTTTGGTTGAGTCGAGCACATGTTTCTGGATGGATATGACTTGCGAAAGTTTCTTTGACATTTGCCCAATGGCGGCTTTGATTGATTGAATGAGAGGGATACATATGGTCTGGTAGGCGGGCACGTAGGTAGCACAAAGCACGACAGACCTACAAGTGAGGAGGAGGGACGTGTAATGCTTTGCCATTCTGCCCTCCGTGGGCTTAGGCTTTTGCTGGTTTTCTTCTTTTCGCACGGGATGATGGGTCTTCTTTTTTCTTCTTCAACCGGGCAGACAATGCAGGGGGGGCTAAAACAGAGCCTGTGATTTAACAGTACCTGATATATACCACACTACTACCTATACCTGTGTCACATACAAAATGGACGAGGCATATCTTCTCTTTTACCTCATTTTTCCTGTCTCTCTTTTCCATTTCCAATTTCGTGACAAGAAAAGTTTAATTGATGCCAGGGAAGAAGGAAATCTTACGCCACACCCGAGAGGACAAGATGCTCGTACTATCATTGGGGAATAAATATGAAAGGAACCGAAGGATAGATGGAGGAATGGATGGATGGCGATGAGGCCGTCCCCTGGTGTGCATATTCAGATAGTTTAATTGAACACCTTGAGATTTACGCTTCTTTTCTGTATATCAACTGACGCATATTACTGTGTCTTCTCAATGGGAAGGTTCATCTTGTTCATTGTTTCGCGTGCTGAATTGACCTCGACTCATGCATGGATTCTCCGTATACCGCATGATGCCTGAAGGGCACTTCAATCAAAGTCGCGATTTCAACAAGACTGGTGACTTTTGTCGTTGACACTGGACAATAAATGAGTGGCAGAAAACCCTTGAAAGGTATAAGGACACGAGAATCAAACGGAACAGCGGCTGCAGTCGAGATGCTTAGTTTCTATCGATGCTATTATAAAGACTAATAATGATGAGGTGTAAACAACCATGATGCTGCGAAACATCAACAGTCAATGGTGTGACTTCGTCATGATACGAAGGAGCTACGACCTAGGTCGAGGCCTAGTCATGACCGGCAATATATTGAAGTGATATCCTCAAGGTCGCCAATCTCTGAAAACCACCCGGAATAACCATTCCCAGCAGAAGGGATTAGGAAAATAGGAACCACAATAATCATACCGGAGCGCCAGAGACGCAATTTTCGTTTCCTTTCCCCCTTTCCCTTGGATTCAAACAACGTTGAAAACCCAAAAATGTCCATCCTTCTGTTCGGCATTCTCCAAAGCTGTATTATGACCAGTCGGACTTGTGACCGGCTAGTATGGTCTCCATCCATATATGATGAGAACTAGCTGGATGCATGCCAACCATCCAAACCACGCATTCCTGACAATAGAATGAAACAATGTAATATAAACCTGCGATGCGAAAGAGATAGGTAACCAGTCACAGGTTCAAAACCCCAGCTGGTGGCATCAGTATCCGCGTCTGGTGACCCGTCTGGCCACCTTCTTCTTCACTGGCTCCGGCTTCGTGGTGAAGAAACTCTTGTTGCCATCCTCAGATGTGTCAATCCATGCCGGGTCAGCTTTGCTCCAATCAGACGGAAAAGGATTCTGCGGATCATTGAGCTTCGAACCCTGCTTGCAAGCAAGCAGCGAAACCAGCGCCATAGTCACCAAAGGGTCGCCACACTCCTTCTCATCGTTACTGTTGGGCTCTCTGCGTTCACCTCCAATGACCCCAACTTTGCTCCCCGAAGTTCTAGCAGCGGAGATGGGCAGTAGCTCACTAGCCTTTTTCTCGAGTAGCCTCACGCCCGAGTAGAATATCCGGTTTGTCTTCTCTCTTCTCCATGCTTCTTCTTCCGGTGATTGGTTCCAGGACACAGCTCTAGATTGAAGAGGATAACGCTCGTACCAATGATCATCTAGGATGGAAGTCTGCCCAGAGTAGTTGCTGGGCAAGCCGTCCCTGAAATAATGCATGGCTTTGTCGAGGGGCAGAGTGTCAAGGATTGGGACCTTGTTTGGTAAAATCTTGCTTGGCAGGTAGTTATTGTTGCCGAAACGCTGCTGAAATATCTCTTCAGTGTCCTCGATGCAAGCAGCCCGAGCCGCCTTGATACGGTCATCAACTGGAGTTGGTCCTGAAACTGAATGCAGTCGATCGCCTGGTCCATGAAGCTCAGCTTTCCTGCTCGAGAGTGACTGAACTGCAGGATTACCGCGGGCACCGGGGTCATTCTCCATGGATGAAAAGCCTGGCGGGGTGCGAAGAGGCGCTTTCTCGTCATCATAGGAGCGGAGGATCCTGTAAGTAGATTCCGCGGTCGATGGCTTGTACGGACGCTGCCCCGGTGGGCCTGCCGTAAGAGGCTGGGGGGTTCCAATAGCGGCAGATGTGGTGCCGTATGGAACCGCGGACTGATTCCTTCCAGTGACGGAGGGTTTGCTGAGAAGCGAAGAGGGTGTATCAGGTCTGTTGATGCCATAATGAGCTGTACGTGCCTTGGCCAGGGCGAGAGTGTTCTGAGCTTTCTTTTGCATAGGGTTCGGATACGATGCGAGGCTCGTGAGACTCTTGACAGAGAAGGTTGACGCGAGGAGTATATCATCTCCGGCGGAGCTGTCATCGTCCCCAGTCGTTGAAGTATTGTCCTTCAGGTCGGAAAGGGTGCTCAAAGCTGCAGTCGAAGGTGCTGGAAGATTTCCAGCTCTGATGGTAGGAAGCGACATGACAGTAGCTTGAGATTTCTCCGCATCGGCAAAGGGACTGACGGCTCGATCAAGGTTTTGCTGCAGAGGCGAATAATGCGGCAAGGTGGTTTTCGTGGGAGGGGGTGATATCTCTGCTTCTGCCACGGGCAAAGCCGATAGGAGTGAATTGGGGAACGGACCGTAACCGTGGTGACCCGGAGGTGATTGGAGTCCGTTGAAACGACGAGTGCGAGGCCGTCGAGTGGGAGGGTGTATCGGTGCCGTTGCATTTGGATTGTGAAGGGTGCCGACGGTATTGAAAGTAGCCGGTTTGGATGGCTTCGTCGTGTCTGTAGGCGAGAACACGGATGAGTTAGATAGAGGTGACGAGAAAGGGTCCATTTGAACGATTGGGCTGGTTGCGCTTTGCTAATGAAGACGTTTTGGGCAGATGATAGAGAGTATGAAGGAAGGATGAAGATGGAGATGACTTGCAAGTTGGCAAGGACGAGATTTTAGGTCGCCAAAGCAAGGGAAAGGAAGTTTCTGGAGGGCCAGGCTGCCAGCCGCCACTGGCGTAACTGGCGATGAAGGAGCGATAGGGTAGAGAGTGGGAAGAGGAAAGAATGAGGCTGGGTCGACGTACCTTCCGTCTCGGTCGTTGTGGGCTTGTGGTCAGGAGAGGTCGCAGCTGCCAGTGCAGACTGAGCGCGGAGCCACTCTTGCAACTTGATTTCGCTCGCCATCAGACGAGCATGACGAGCATGTCGCGGTTGTAGCATATCGGGGCTTGGAGGGTTGTAGACTGGTATAGCCATCGTGTTCGATTTCTCTTCATGTTGGCTCGCCGAGTGAACCTCGATCGCAGGAACGCGTCGAGGGGGCGCTTGCGAGGCTGTCGCAGTCGACTTGACGGGTTCGGGCGTCATTTTCAACTGCATCTTGGGAAGAAGAAGCTGCTGTTCTCTACCTGCTGACCCAGTGCGCGACTGGGGTCCGGATTTTGTGACTGGGAGCAATCACGACCTCGTTTGGCTTTCCTGCTGAGTGGGAAAACGAAGGTGGTTTGCGAGGTGTTGATGAGTAGGAGCAGAGGCGGTTGAGATTTCCAGTGGGGGCTTTCTTTTATATGCGGCTCTTCGCGGCGCGCAAGTGAAGGGAGGGTTGTTCTTTCCCCTTGGAAGGCGGTGCCCGCGTGCGTCCTAGTTGTGCAATTTGTCTGCCGACCCATCTTTCGGAAACGACGACTGGGGCTTTGATCCGTGCCTTCATCAGTACCTGCGAGGCATCTCATGAAACTCCAGACGCACTGGTTTGTGATCCTGACTAATCCCGCTGCAGGGGCAGTCTCGAGATAAGTATGTTGCCCCTCTGATTGCAGCATGCAAAACTGCCAACCTGGAAGTTAACATGGAAAGGACGTGCAATGGACACTAGATCTCTCGTCGTAGACTGCTAGCTTCTCCCTTCGCAATTTTGTTGGACGTTCCAAAGCCAGCAAACCATAGGGAAAGACAGGCGACGCTTAGCTTTGTTAACGACAGGAAAACCCGAAAACAAAGTTTCATGTGCCAACGAGGAGGCCTCTTGTTGTTGCCTCTTGTTGTGTCTCCAAGCATTGAGTCCGGAGAGGGGAAAGAATACCGCATCTCAACGACAGCAAGTTGACAAACAGAAGAAGGTCAAGCCAAAGGATGACAAAAACTGCTCAAATCCTTGCGAGCACCTCGATATCCAGACCGAGTTGGCGTCAGCAATCTTGGTGAACCAACCATTAAATCATGCTATGCTGAGAGAGTTTCAATCGTTCATACAAACAGCTTGCTACTTCACTAGGCCGGTTTGATGTCATGTGAAAGACTAATTGAGAAAGAAGAAAGAAACAAAAAGAGGCAAGTAGATAACAGCCATTTTGATGGGTCCTTCTTGGGTTTGAGGCTGGCCGTCAACGTCAACATCCCGCATTCTCAGATGGCTTTTTTTGACCGTCGAGATAACAACTAACTGTCTATTGAATCAATGGCTGGGGACATCTTCCCACAGCTTCCTTGATGGCACTATCCGGCTCATTGAAGATATAAAAGAAGATATCAGGAAGAAAAAAATTATTGAATAGACCACTCACCTGCATAATGGCGCTTGAGATAGAACTATGATACACCGTATCATCTCGTCAACATAAGACAAGGAACTTTCAGTCTGATGAGTCTCTCACAAACAAAGTCATGGTGCACAAGCTCCATCTTGAAAAGAAGAAGGCTAAAGAGCCCATTCCATCTACAAAGAGCATGGTAGAGCCTGGCCGGGGATGTCTGACATCACGTCTTTTGATCTTGTAAACCCGAAAGAATGTCTCCGTAGCTGTGAGGCCAACGAGAATAGCCCGCAGTGCTTTGCTGGTCAGTACAGCCTGCTACCCAGAGCTTGCCGGCCTACTTGAGCGGATATGAGTGGAAAATCGTGAACCGTTTGGTGGTCATAGGCGCCAGCAATTGCCTGTTTTGCATTACTCATGCGGCAGAGTATTAAGACCATGATGGACCGCGAAGGTAGGCATCTGAAGAAGGATGATCCTTCGTAGACGTCCTGGCTGTTCGGGAGCCAAGTGTAGGATCATCATTCTCAAATACGGAGGCGTCTGCAACGGTGTTATTTTATGGTTTGCCGCCTCAGTGTAAGCGGTGCTATTTCTGCTACTCGCAATGTGTAAGCAACGAGGGTTGAGAGAGGGTATAAAAAGAGCGGAGATTGGATGGTAATGTCATGATGTAAGAACTCAGCAGATAAGAACAAGTTGGTTCCCTCATGGTCCCACTCATCTCACCCTCCAAGCGTGATGGGGGTGAGAAGAACGACGGCAGCTATGGAAATCCGTGATATGAGAACAAGAGGCAGGTATGGTGGAAATATAAAGTTGTTGGCTCCGATACATAGAAGACTGTACGAGAGTGTCTTGAGTATTGTACCCAAAGTGCCCGTTATCCGAACGTCCGCGGCAGGCGTAAGCTAGAGACGGTCGTGGACAGCGCGCCAAACGAGAAGACTCTCGGGGCCAGTCGGTCAAGGAACTCGTATGAAAGAAATTGCTTCAGAAAACATGGGACGATGAAAAGTGGTCTTCGAAACATATGTCCCGTTCGGTAGTTTCAGTGAGCAGGAGTTGGGCTGTTTGTGGCTCGGAACGCGTTCCGGCGAAACTTTTGTGACCCCGAAGTTGTTGGCAACGACTTCGGTACCTGGTAGCAGTGGAGAGTGGGTCCTAAAAGTCGCTGATCATTTCCCCTTGCCGCTCCAGACCCGGAGCGGGAAGGCCTCCGGAGTGGGGCCCATTGACAACCTCCCGCTCCGTAGGTAGCCTCGACCAGGACCTCGACAACAACCTTATTTCTCTTCCGCCGACCCTGCTTAGGTACTTCATGGATGTTGGTCTAGCTCCCGTTGTTAGTATGACGAATTAAGGAAGGCAAGATTTTAGATTGATTTTCAAATATTTCGAGTTGTACAAAATCCCGGCCGAGCAGACGACGAACCACGGATCTTGACCACCACGCCATGAACCTCACTGTCCGGTTGAAGCATCACCCCTCGCGTCAAGAGAGGGGCCCCGAGTTTGACGGAGACAGTCGAGCTCTCAGCCAGACTTGCGCTTTTATATTGTTTGTCTCCCTAGTCTTCCTTTTGATGCAGCACATATTAGTTTCCACTGATGTTTTGTAGTCCTCGGTTTATCCCGTTCCAAACGATGCAGTGAAAACCATGGATTGCAGCGGTAAGTGTCTCGAGTCTGTGGAATCGCAATATCTTCAGCATGAGACACTCGTTCGGATACCAATCGAACGCCTTCAGGGAACGCCACCCCTATTCTCGACACTCCCACCTTACCCTCCCAGCATGCCGGACTTCAACACATGGGTTGAGATTGATGGAAACCCACGTATACAGTATTCGCATTTGTGCGGCAACTCTGAGGCCCAACACCTCACCAATGCGGCGAGGGCCCCCAGCTGTCGGACTTCCCTGTCTGCACCCAGGCACCTACTTACTCAAGTACCAGGCTTCTGGGGGCATATGCAGAAGGATGTTGCCGTCGATTTGGGCGTCGGGTAACGTTGTTGTAGACTTTTAGGGGATGATTATTGATGTTGTCATCCGGGTAATCGAGCGTACAAGCGCCGCGCTGTCAGCATCTAAAGATGATAGGTCTATATAGGAGAAAGAATAAGCTTTGGTCTGGCCTCCCTTTGCTGCCTCGGGATACCTCTAAACTTCTGATGAGACGGCTCGTGGATGAACCGCGCTGGGCTACAGGCGACCCCTGACCGCTAACTGTGTGACCCCACCCCCAACTTTCGGTGCTGTCTTTGGCACTTCTGTGCCCTTTTCCACCCATCATCCCGCCTTCCCCTCGCCTTTTTCGATCTCGGTCTCGACCGAACAAGTTCCTGGGCTGGTCAGAAAACAACTGCCATTCTCACACTCGTTCCACTGTTCCTTTGGTGATATCATTCATCCAACTGCGCAGGTCCTTTCGTTCTGTTTTTAAGAGCACAAACCTTCTTGGATACGAAGACATCAGGGCAACACACGATATCGAATTAAACAAACACTCGATACGATACCCCGAGCACACCAACTAGCTTATTATACAATGGACTATACAAACCCAGCATACTTCGCCGGCGTCGGCACCCAGCCGCCGTACCACTTCATCGGTATTCCTCCCCTCACCCCTTCGCATTCAAACTCGGCCGCTTCGGACGACTTCAACGCCTCTCCACAGGTGAGTTCCATGCTTTTGATTCAGATGGAACTGGAAGAGAGAAGCGGGTGAAAGAGCAGACTCTTGGGGTTGCTGATATATCGCTTCATATGGACCCGAGTGGCATTTCCTTTGGCGTTCCTGCGTTTCTCAGCATGCCATTCATGTCCCTCTCTGCACCTCCCGGCCCGTTAGCGCACGACCTTCCCGGGCAATCGAATGGCTTACACATTCCTTATTCAGGAACTCTTCGACCAATTTCCGAACGCGCTTTCACATGACCAGTTCCAGAACTTCGAGGCGTTTGCTCAATTCAACACCCAACCATCAACTTTCGCCGGGCCCCCGACTCCTCCGACCCAGCAACTTCCTCCGACCGCGCAGCCCATCAACGGTGCCATACACCTTCAGCATTCAGCTGACCTGCTACAATCCCTCAACAATGCCAAAGGAGAGGCGGCCGATGAAGCCCGAGCCCGCAGACAGGGCTCAAACTCGGATGAAGACGAAAACTTGACGCCCGCTCAGTCGAGGCGGAAGGCCCAGAACCGCGCCGCGTACGTTACACACCGCCTCCCTTACTGTCTGCTCTCCTGTCCTATCTTGGTGATCACGGGTCAGACAAGCAGAGGAACCCTTGAATCACGCCGTCACACGTCTCACGTACCCTTTTGTTCCACGTTGCCTCTCTCTTTCCCTTTCCTTCCCAAAGGCTGGACACCACAGATCATCCCAAGAAGTACCTTGGCTAACTCACTCCCTCCCAATCTCCAGTCAACGAGCCTTTCGCGAACGCAAAGAACGCCACGTCAAGGAACTCGAGAACCGTCTCCAACAGCTGGAGGAGGAAGCCCAGTTGACCCGGTCAGAAAACGAGAAGCTGAAGCAGGACCTCCAAAAGATCAGCACCGAGAACGAGATACTGCGGGCGACGTCGCTTGCGGCCGCTGGCGCTGCCGCCGTCGGGTCTCCGCTAGGGAGCGCTGGGACGCCGATGACGACGGGCCCCATGTCGTACAAGCCGACGGACTTCTACTCGAACCTGCTGGAGAATCACAACGAGAAGACGCCGAGCCACCGGGTGGTCAAGAGCGAGAACGGGGAGCGCCTGTTGGCGGCCGGTGCGGCTTGGGACCTGATGCAGAGCCACGAGCTCTTCAAGCGCGGGTTGGTCGATATTCAGGCTGTCAGTGAGCTGTTGAAGGGTCAGGCAAAGTGTGATGGCCAGGGCCCTGTATTTGAGGAGAGGGCCATTGTGGAGGCGATCGAGCAGAGCGTGGCAAGTGGGAGCGACGAGTTGCTATGAGACGGTGGCTCCCGAGAGCTGCGACCGAGAAGCATGGGGATAGGTGCATCCTGGACGGAGATACCCCGGCAGAAGCACCGTATAGGACGACGAACAAGACCGGGTATATATCACGCGAAGGAAAAGGGAGACACGAGGAAGCAAAAGATGGGCAGGGATGAAGAGAGTGCATATCAAGTTACATACAAGCATATCGAGGGCTGGGTGGAATATTGGATGAATGGGTATTTGTTTTCAGTCACGAAGCCCATACCTTCGTCAGTTTGACAGGTGTTAAAGGGGGTGGGGGTATCTTGGGGGCAATTATGGGAACCTCACTTGCATTTGTCTTGGAATAGCGGAGTTGGCTTATCTTTTTGGAATTTGTATATGACCATGTCTTTGACCTATAATCGATGAAGAACAAACATCACAAGATGGAAACGCCAAGGCTATAGCCTATATATATCGCTTGTTTGGTGCCTAGATACCTCTCTCTTTCTATCTGCCGTGAATGTCTAAAAGAATTCGAGCCTCCCAGATCCCACTATTTCAAACCATGGACCAGACTTGAAAGCTCTTGTTGACCCATGGTATCTTCATACGTTGTGCGTAGTTTGTAGTAATAGCAACCGGAACATGGTCCCTGAGGACGCCACGCTAAACAACGCTAGAAATACACGACGTGGTTTCTATCGTTTGCGTATGTGCGTGTTTACCCATTTCCTCCTCTTCCCTTTTTCGTTCTCTTGAGCCTAGCGGCAAGTCCCTCTCTTTCTCCCGTCCCTCTCCCACCTAACCAAAACCCACTCCCTTCCCGGAAGTATAAAGAAAAATGGGAAAGCAGATAATCATCATCATGTATCGTATATATCCGTGTATTCGTCATAAAAAGAAAAACCAGGGACGAAGGGCAGTCACCTCTTATCATGTTCCGAGTTCGGAATGTCATGATAGGGACATGGTTCGTATATATCGGTGCTCCGATCGGTCGGACTGGTCTGCCGGCCAGCACGGTTGTCCCCCATATCCTTGTTTTATCCTCCTCCTCCATCCTGTATCCTCCGCGCGCCCTCACTCGTTGCGAGGTGGTCTATACTCTTGTCGCTTTAGGCCCGCGCCGCACTGCCTGCCGTCAATCATTTGCTTGTCACCCTCTTAGCTTGTCCGATTCCATTCTCCATCATATCAACTCTCTTCACCGTAAGAGATTGACACAATCATTGAGCCTTCTTCTCCTTGCTTCCCTCAACCTGCTTAGACACCTTGGGATCATCTTGGCCCTCCACATATGGGTACTTGATAGTCAAGCACCAGATGTCCAAGTAATCGCAGATAGTGACGATGACGTCCGCCACGAAGCTGCCGTGCACGCCAACCGCCATTCCCAGCATGCAGAACATGAAAGCAACCTGGTAAACACCGTCGCCCAGCGCCGACGGCCAGCCGAGGTTCTTGAGGCCGTCGGGCGCGTACGTTTGGATGACGGGGCCGAGGGAGTCGAAGACGCCCAGGCCGAGCGGGATCACCATGACGTTCCAGTAGGGGAAATCAAGCTTGACGAGATGGGCCGTGATCATCTGCCCGACGCTGTAGGCGTTGACGATGCCGGCGAAGAGCACGAAGGGCACCAGGTGGCCGTGCAGGATGTTAGGCTGCAGGTACAGGTAGGCGACCACGAGTGTCCAGGTGGCGAAGAAGGGGAAGAGACCGACGAGGGCGTAGCGCGAGCGGTCGCCGCGGGCGCGGCGGGCGCGGATCACGTTGCGAGCGGATTCGACTGTGTTGTAGACGAGCACGACGGTGCCCTGGACCATGTACCACTCGGTGAAGGAGAGGTTGTAGAGCCAGCTAGGCAGAGTCAAGGCGGTGGTGCCGAAGGTGAGGGTCTGGGGAACGCCGAGGGTGGAGAGCATGCCCTGTTGCCAGAAGGAGGCGCCGCCGAGGTAGCCGGTCAGGGTGTAGACGCCCACGAGGATCAGGATACCCTCAACGGGCCCGTTGACGATGCCGAGGGTGAGCGTCTTGGTGTGATACTCATCCCAGGTTTGGACGTAAAAAGTCAACAGGGAGGCGAAGACGGTCGCGACAGTGTACCAGCTTTGGCCCATGTTCTGGGAGGCGGCGAAGATAAGGCATTCGAGAGAGGTGTTGAGGGCGTCGACGCCATGGTCGAAGAGTTCGCCGAGAGGTCCGGACTGGCGAGTACGGCGACTGTAGTGAAATTCATGGTTAGTTTATCTTGTTCCCATAGATCATGCACTTGATAGCAGAGGGACAACTCACGCTTGGGTGCCGTCAACGGCATCAAAGGTCTGGTAGAGGAACAGACCGGCGGCCCAGCTGTAGTAGACCCAAGGCGGGCAATCCTGGTCGAGGGTAGGGTTGTACCATAGCAAAGTGAGGAAGTTGGCTACAACAAACATAAAACCCGTGAGCGTGATCAGGTTGGGCGCCATGCTCATGGGGAAGAGCTTGATGACAACATTGGTGTAGAATGGCTTGAGGATGTATTTGGACGTCAAAGAGTGGTCGACGGCCGAGTACTTGTATTGCCGCAAGTTCGGCAGCTTCTCCTGTCGCACGTAGACCATCTTGACTTTGGATCGAGGATTTTATATTCGTGGCGTCTAGCGATCCAGTATGTCGTGAGGCTTGAATGAGGCGAATCTCCGCGTTGGGAGGTGGAATATCGCGTGAAGGCCAGAAGTCCGGATGACTGATAACGATTGTTCGTCCGGTATCGCTCTTTGGTGTTGCTACCTAAGCAACCTAAGCTTGCGGCCTTGGAAGATCAAGGCAATGGGCCAATGCCTCGTTCAGGCTTTCGTTGAAGACAGTCTGCTCAGAGGTGCTTTCGCTGTGCAAGGCGCAAGTTGAGAGAAGGAAGACTGAGGGAAATATAGGGAGGGGACAATGATCCGAAAGTAAATAAAAGAAGAAATGTCGAAGCCGGAGAAGGAGAAAATAAAGTGGATCTTTTATCAAAAAGAACGGGGATCCGGCATAGAGTGGAACACTTTCTGCGCGCGTGAGTTGTCTTTCCCCTCACGGCCCCCCTCAGCAGCTTCCCTTTGTTTCGGCAGGCTCAAAGCTGAGCAGGTTGGCCTGGTGCGACATATCACCTTGAACGGGACATTTGCTTGTTTTTCAAGATGTTGTCCAATGTTGTTCTTGCTTGTTATGACGCGCCGCACTTCGCGCCATGTTGAAAGGAGGTCAACGTCGCACCTTTTGTTTTTTTCCCTCGTGTGACTTTACGCTTGTTGCGGCCCAGGTCCCGGCCACTTGGCCCAACCCCAAAGCTTGCGTCATAACCCTTCCTTGCACAGTGAACCCTGATACCTACTAGCCCCTCCGTCGGGCCCTAACCATGATTAACAGGGGCAGCTGACAGCGGAGATACGCTATAAATGTACGGACCAGATCCATTTGCGAAGGAAAATCATCGAGTGTGCAGACAGAGTGCGGTTAACCAAATGACCTTGAGTAATTATTGATACATTGCTCAGGTTTGAAGCCATGGAGATCATCTCCAGCAGATCGCTAGAGTTTATCAGTCTCAACCAGTGTGAGGGATGCAAGATCGGGAAGATTCGAGACCCTGAGATTGACCTTATAAACAGGACGAACCCTATGATCAGATATATCATAGTCTTGTTCATAGTGTGAGCAGCCATCACGAGTCATACAGAACTCTCATGCTATCCAGAAGAAAGAACTCCGTAATTTTGTCTTTCTCTACCAAATAGTATGACGTAAGTAATAATAGAGTACTAAGTTTGGGGTAAAACGCCATGCGGACAACAAGCTAACACCAAACAACCAACATCCCTCAAGTTACCAAGGTCAAGGTCAGAGCTGATACCTTGCCCGTTTCATTAAGCTTTAAGCAACAGACGCCACTACCAAAGCAGCCACACCTTCCTCCTCGCTCCTGACAGTGATCTTAGTAGTAACACCCGACTTAGCCGAGAAGGCCATACGGACGTTGGCAACCACTCTGCCGCCACTGACAGTCTTTCCGAGGAGCTTGAGCGTATGTGTGGTCTGGTTAAGGGGCACATCTGTTCCCTCAAGGGGTTGTAGCGACAAAGTCTTTGCTAGTTGTTCGGTTGCGTCTGTAGAATGTTAGTAAATGGGTTTGGCAAGAGCCAAAAACCAGAGAATTACGTACCTGCTATGCTCTTCATGCTGCTGAGCAGCAATGTCTCCTCCGCCTCTTCCCCAGAAGCACCAATCTGCTCCCAAATGTGCGCAAAGTTGCTGGCAAATACGGGAATGACATAGTCACTTCCCGCCAGGTCAAACTCGGCAACCTCGTACTCGTCATCGTACCCGGTTTCTTCGGGCTCACCGGTGCTGGGATCGATCTCCTTGCTGGTAAACTTAAGGACGTTGGAGAAGGTGCTAACTGGTAGCGAACCCTCACCGCTAACCTTTCTGAATGCCACATACACCTTTCCGGGAACACCGGTCTCGAGCTTTTCAGCCTGGATAATGAACAGCTCCTCAAGCTCCTCTTCCGAGGGAGTAGCTACGACGGAGACGTTCTCTAATACGGTGTCGGGAAGAGTGTTCTTGACCTCGTATTGGAGCACGATATGCTCCTTGAAAATATGCTTGACAACTCCAACGACGTACTCGGTCTCCGCCTCGGTCAACTCTACCACCGGCGACGACTTGAGGACGGCGCCAAATTCCGCCATCTCGGGGATCTGCATCAACTCCTGCGCATACTTTTGCGCAGCCGCCGACGCAGATGCAGCCGCCTCGGCACTGGTAGGAGCCGCCTTGGTTGGTCCGACCTTGGGTGGCTTGAGAGAAGGTGTCGTAGCAGTAAGCTTCTTGGTCCTATCCTCGGCATCTGCTTGCTCGCGGGTAACGACAGGGATATTGGAGATATCGAAAGGCGCCTCGAATGTCGACCTGTCGTCAGAAGTAACATACGTGACAAGCTGGTGCTCGAAAAAGGGCAGCGAGAACATGCTGTCTGTTGACATGTCAGTATACGATCGCTTCCGGCGAACAGTAACAGAGAGCATGCGATAACTTACCATTCTTGACAAACCTGTTGGCAAGCTCATCCTCCTCCTTCATAAGCTTGAGGTTCAGCGCAGCACGATCGCGAACCTCGTCATCGACATCATCCAGACACCTGGTAAGAAGAACCTCCACGCTGCGCTTGACTTCAGGATCCTTCTGGCCGACACCAAACTTGGCGAGGGCAGTAACCGCCGCGGCGCGTACAATGGAGTTCTCGAGGACCACCCGGTTGTAGATGTATCGGATATACTTGGTGGGCTGAGATGTCTTGGGTCCCTCAAGACCGAGGAGGTGAAGGACACGGACTGCCAACTTGGTGAACTCGCAGTCTTCGATAAATTCGCAAAGGTGAGCGAGGGCCTCCTCCTTGGATTCGGGGACGAACTTGATGAGGTCGAACATGCTCTCCACCACAGCGCGCTTGAACTCATAGCCGCCCTCATCGCGCAAGATACCACTCAGGAACTGGAGCATGCCGGCCTGCTTGCTGGGGAACTTGAGGCATAGAGTACGGATGGCTTCGACAATCGTGATCTTAAACTCGTCAGTGATTTCAGACATGAAGCCAGAGATCTGCTTCATCAGGCGATCCACGCTGGCCTCATTTCCGGTCTTGAGTAGAGTAGTAATGGCAAACGTAGCGATGGAGCGATTGCTGTTGGAAATAAGGAGCTCAATATCCGGGTTGCACACGGCAACGGCCGCCGGCTTGAAGGAAGCGAAGTTGTGAAGAATACGAAGAGCGGCGAACTTGGTAACGGCGCGGGGCGAGGTAAGGAAGAGCTGGAGGACATGGACTGCCTGGGTGACCTCAGCGTCGGTGACGTCCCGCATATCGCAGATCGCCTTTGCGGCCTCGAAGTTGACCATTTCGCTCTTGTGCCTGAGCCAGCCATCCAGCAGCTGCATCATGGGCTTCCTAAGGTGCGGGTCTTCGTCGGCCAGATGGGCGGCAAGACGGACGAGCAACACGAGAGCGGCGGGGTTCTTGACGGCCCCGGGAGCGCCGAACTGCTGCACCATCTTCACCAATGCCATCCTGTCGTGCATGCGCATCTGATAGAGCAAGCCAATGGCGTGATACTGGGTCATGGTCGAGTTGTTGATGGGCAGGTCTCTAGAGGAAGATCCGAAACCGAGGGAGAAGCCGCCGGTCGACTTGGTGTTAGCTGCCGCTTCCGAGGTCTCATTCTGCCACCGTTTGACCACGTCCTTGGCGACGGGGAGAAGATGATATGATGATACGAGGGCGGCAGAAGATACTGAGGGGTTTCTGTCGACAATGGCCGTCTTCATGACACGCTCGATGGACTGTACTGTGGTGGCCTGCAAAGTGTCGGGTTAGCTCCACATTGGATAGCCATTAAGGGGTCGAGGGGCGCGTTGCAGGGGCTCGGGGGTGGCCGCTTACATCGATGATGCGGCAAAGGGCGCGGATGGCATTCGGACGGTAGATGGCATCGGTGCTACCGCCAGTGTCCTTCATGATGGTGCTGGTAACCATAATGATATCCTCGGCCGAGTTGGCCAGCTCCTTGATGACAAGGTGGACCATCTGTCGTAGGCTGGCATCCTTGTTCTGGAAGAGCTTCGAGATACCGAAGAACAGCGTCGTCGCCTCGTTTGTCGGGAATCTTTCGCCGGTGTAGAGAAGGAGGGCAATCTTGGTAAGGAGGATACGGCATTTGCGCGGCTGAATGGGGGAGTTGTTGAAGAGGCGGGCTGTATGTCGAACCGGTCAGTCTTGAGGAGGTTAGGAGCTAAGGGCCACGACGACAAGGCCTCAGCTGTCAAGGTACTCGGACTCACCCTCCTGGAAGACCTGGGTCCGGTCAACCTTGACCAGACCCGTCTCAGCATCCTCGTCCTTCTTGCCGTAATTCATGGCGGGCAGGGCGACGATGGGTGCTGGAGGTGTAATGTGGATTTGGGAGACCCAGGATGTTGTTGTTCAGGTAAGCAAGTCGAGGCTAGAACAATAGAGGTACGAAATAACGGAGTAGCGGCTGCAATGTTGCCTGTGCGGCGGTGCGGCCAGCAAATATCCCCAACTCGCGACGTTGCCAATTCCACTGCACAGTCGAGGGGGAGTCCACTGAGGTGTCAGGGAGTCCGTGCTCCACGCTGCCAGTGCACCTGAGAGGCTGAAAGCCCCCCGGAAGGAGCCAATTGCGAGCTTCCATGTGCATCATCAACCTCAAGGGGTGTTACAGCGCACAGACCACTGGTTGCTATGTATACCTACAGTTGCTTCCCTCCTCTTGAGTTGAGTATCGAGATCAGTCACTTGCAAGATCACACGGAATGATACTCCTTGAAGCAGACTTTCCAGTGTTCGACCTTCCATGGAATTTGTGATTTTGAAGGAAAGTGGGACTGAGATCTCGAGTAATAACCACCATGAGGATACAGCAGCAGTGCTAACACTACGTCTCAACAGTCTAACATTACGCTATCTCCTGTTTTCTATCGATACTCCTGAATCTGTTCGTACTAAGCTTTACACCCCAAACTCGGACTAGCTGGCCGCCTTTCTTTGTCGGCTTGAATGCCAGCTTGGTCTTGACTACCTTACTCAGAATGCATAATCGTGAGCCCTTTACGTTGTTGATTGTTTCTTCCAACGGTGGCCCCAGTCCACACTTAAGGATAGAGTTGGTCCGATCATCCATTGCACCCATCTCTTCCGTTTCGTCTTCTTCAGAAAGAGCATAAAGCCTTGCCTTGGCTTATAAAACATAATTTGTTTTCCCATATGGTTGCTTGCTCGCTTTTGGGCGTACCCGTAGGCACAGCTTCCTATATTACTCTTCTGCTGCGTCCCTCACCTGCGTAGCATCAGCGATCAGATGCCCAAATGACCCTATGATGTGGAAGCAGCTTCGATCGCTTCTGCGTCAACAGGCACCTCAGCTGGAACCATTGCCGAAACCTCGGGTTGCGCCTCAGTCTGTACCTCCGCCTGTGCTTCGAGTTGCATCTCCGGTTGTTCCTCGCCTTGTACCTGCGCTTGGTCCTCCGCTTCTGCGGCGTCTGCTTGCTCTTGCATTGGCTTTTGATATTCAGTGTTGATGGGGATTCCGTTCCGTACATCGGCTTCCTTGCGGTCGGGATTCTTGCCGCATGCAATCACGGCATTTTTCTCTTTCTGACCCAGCACAACAAGATCAAACGACCGAGGCAAAATAGCATCAACCCTATACCAAGCGTGTCAGTAACGGCCAGGCGAAGTTTCGTAAGCAGGGTGCCAAGTCACTCACTTTAGGAAGTCCTGCTTTAGCAACCGAGCTTTGTCTCGCAAAGCCTGCTGGTCACGAGGGCGCACAAAATGAATCTTGCCACTTTTTATGTCCTTCTCGATGACGCTCCATTTGCACTTGTACGCATCTACCGCCCTGACCAACGTCTTGATGTCGTCGCGAACCCAGGGCGACCGAGACTGTGGTTCTCTGGCTTTCCGGTTAGCTGCCGAGAGCTCCCTCGTGCGTTGCGACAAGTTCTCCAAGTCGAGTTCGACCTGTGTGTCGGTGAACGGTGGATACCGAGCCACAGCGGCGACAGCGGCAGCGGCAGTAGCGGCGGATGAAGACGGCGTCCCAACATCCCCCATTGCACCCTCTGCGGCAGGAATGGGGACAGTCGGCTTCTTACGACGGGTCCTTGGCTTTTTGGCTGGTGGTTTGCCCGCATCTGCTCCATCGACTACACCATCATTATCGCCCGGAGAAGCTCTCTTAGGACGGCCTAGCTGGGCGGCAGATTGTGCGTAAATAGTGCCGTTTTGAAAGGCACCCGGATGACCAGGGTACGCCAAAGGTGGCGATTGTTGAGCGTCGAAGCTAGGGGGATATGGGGCGCGCCCAATTGGGGGGTAACTGCTCGATTGGAGTTCGTGGCCTCGTCCGAGTGTATCCTGGGTTGTCGAAAAACTTCCATCTTGTGGTTGCGAAGCATCGCTCTCCGCTTCCCGATCGATCTTCATGGTACGAAGAGTAGCCATATAATCCAGCTGTCTTTGCCTGTAACAGATATCATATTAGCATAAGACCATGTAGCCTAGGAGGTTGTAGACAAACCCAGAGACATACCCAGTATCTGCCAGTGCTTCGCTCTCCAACTGAGACTGAATTTGTGATTCCACTGCCGATGGATCTGGCGCGCCATACTGTGTAACTGGGTAGGACGGCCCCGGGGGCACAGGTTGTAGTTGTCGTTTGATTTCCTGGAAACAGGCCTCCAGGCTATCCCTAATAACCCGTAGAGACCTGTGGGGGTCATACAACTCCCTGAGTTGCTCCAAGCAAGCATGAAGAGCGGTGTCGTCGATGGATTCATTGGGCAGGTATTCGCAGATCGACCGCAGCCGTGTGATATACTCTTCCTTGTGCCAAGGGTCGCCGTTGGGGTCAATGCCCGGAACAGATTTCAGCGGCAAAGCATCCTTGTTGCCTTGTTTGAAGTCCTCCACTGCTTCCACACTTGGGATCTCTTGACAGAACGTATCCGCCAATATTTCCGATCGGCTTACGGGAAGCTGGTTCTGCGCCTCGAAATTCTGGAGGGTGAGCATGAACAAAAGTGTCCGGATTTCCACAACTTGAGTCATGATGTCTTCTGGCTTAAGGACCGCCGAGTTCTCAACTCCATCCACTACCAGAGACTGGGCAATTATGTCATCGCAGACCTGCAAGTCGGCCAAGTCGTCCTCGGCATTACCCTGCTGGATCGCATCAATTCGATCGAACATAGTAGCAAGGTTGGCGAGCGTCACAGTCTTGCAGGCGTCAGAGCCGGCCGGTGAGTTAGGGTCGACTTCCATGGTCGACAGAACGTGCTTGAGGTTGATGCTAGGTTCGCTGTTGTTAGAGATATAACGTAAGCGGTACATTTCGAACTCTTCTTCCAAAGCTGCCTGCTCATCAGGGTCTCTCTGTTGAGCGTCTATTGTGGACAGGAAAGCGAACAGTTTGTCCGCCGAAGCGAAGAGAAGTGGCAACATACGGCTCATCAAGAGCCTCTCCTTTCCCCTCTTTTCCGGAGTTCTGCCCAACTCGGAAGCTGTGTGAATGGATACCCCACGAGGCGGGGCACCAGTGAGTGATGTTGAAGTGCCTCTACGAAGGGCGAGACCTATTGTAGACGATTAATATGAGGATTCTTGGCAAACAGACCATGTGCTCTTACTTGGGGTTTCTGGTTGAGAGGAGAAGGCGTCCGTCCCAGAGACACGTGTAAGAACGCTATTAACGCTCACCATGCTCCCAGCACGGGCATCACGGCGCGTGCTTCGACGAGCAACTTCAACAAAAGCCTGCTCAGAATCCTTGCTTTGGCCTTTCGGGGCTGGGACCGGAGGAGGAGGCATCTCTGATTCCTGAGTACCAGTGATAGCTGGATCAATCTGAGCATCCTGGACCTGCTGTTGCTGTTGCTGAAGCTGCTGCTGCTCTGCCTGCTCCCCTTGAGGAGGTGGCGGAGATTGCTGCTGAAGACGCGTGGCCCGCCGAACAGCAACCGTCGTTCCCTCGGCCGGTTGCTGTTGCCGCGTGCCAGGACGACCTCTCCCGCGTCCCGTCATTGTTCCCCTCAATGATTCTCTGAGCAGCACGTTTCGTGAGCTCAACTGTCGAGGAAGATAGATGGAAATGCGCGTGCTTGTCGTCGACGACAACGAAGAAGGGTTGGGGTTAGGGTTCAATCCGCCGCGACGAAGTTTGTTTTGAGATTTTTGCTGTGACGATTTCGGGGTTGGAGGAGGGAGGCCCCACCACCACACAGGCCCTGGTCTTTCACGTGACCGCATAGCAGCGTCGTCATCCATCCAGGGGGCATTGTTACCGTCCTGAACCGCGCCTTGCAGCGGGCAAGCGCAACCTCATGCCGTAACCTCTACTTGCCTGTTGTTCAAGACCGAGATTTCGAGCAATGTGAGTTCCTACGTCCAACAATCAACCAGACATTTCAACATAAGTGATTGGTGTCGACTTAGCTAAGGTAGGAATGCCCAGAGAGGGTAGAGGGATACTCAAGGCAATGGCTCCACTGTACGTGTTCAAGGGTACCTCTTCAGTGCACCCCGGATTTCTGTTTTCTACCTGGACATTCAGAGCTCCGAACAGACTTCGACCGACCGAACCGGAAGTTTTCATGTCACAGTACTCAGGTAGCTATGGAGTTACCGCGGTTTTTCTGAAGGGATGTTGGACAGTGGTATTCAGAGTCCACAGGACAACATCGTGGCATTCACTCCCAATCAAGAGGGGATGCAAGGTTGTACATACTGTACACACATGATCGTCTGAAGAGGTGTCAGACTGGTAAGAGGTGAATCTAGACTCCCGGAGACTGAGTCGCTGGAAAGGCCCAAAGCAAAAAGTGTACCGACTACCGGGACCTTTGAAAACCGCAATCTTTCAAATATCTTCTGCCCCAGCGTCCAATTCTATTCATGTGTTAGAGTGATGGTAGTTTCCACGAGACGAGAAAATATGTTCGTCGGGAGCCGCATTCAAGAAACACTAGCTGCAACATGAGCATCCGTTGTTACAGCGATCCGCAAGGAGTTTCAACCATACCTACATACAACTGGCTGGCTGGTGATATGGCCTCATGGAAATAAACTCACATCACGATATAACCAGAATCTTGGGCAGAAGTTTTTACTGTGTGTCCATATGATTCTGACGTCGCTATCTCCTTGCCGGTAGTTCTTAGGTTCTCCAATAGTCTTGTTTGGTGGACGTCCGGTGTCAGTTGGAGGTTTACCCCTGACCTCTGATGATGTCTAACATGCACTAACGGCTGTCGCAGCCGAACAGGCTGTACCCTGTTAAGGAGTGGATAGCTGCGATAAGTGCTGCCAAGTTGCCCGCCGCGGTTGTTGTTTGATACGGTCCGTGGGCATCCTGGAAAATGGGCGACCAGTGGCAGTAGGTAGGGGGGAATTCAAGCGCGCGTGGCTGTGCGACGTGCACCCTTTCTCGTGCATCAACCCGGCAGCATTTCCAAGAAAAGCCCCAAAAGGCTGGAACCCCTGATTAAACACTCCATCTGTCGACGGGCCGCAGAACTTCTACCGCAGCTTTTGCCTCTGGCCAGTTCTGCTGATTCCGCCGGGCAGAATCACCATCTGTCCGCTATTCGATCACTCCTAACTGTCCTTACCTCCCTAACTTTATGTGGTGAGACAACAGTCTTCTGCTTCTTTACCTTCTTTGGTCCGGCGCCAGCTCTTCTCGATAGAGGTATCCTGACGATCACCACGTTTACGAGGAACGTCGATCGCAGCGCTATCGATATACATCCGCCTTCTGGCAACTTTTGCTCCGATTCCAACAAGAAAGACATCGACCTAAAGTCGCCGCCACCATGAGACTGCGACAGCTTCTCATCCCCTCCCTTGCGGCCACTGCCGCCATCGCGCAGTCGACGACAGAGAGCAGCAAGCAACTCGAGAAAAATGCGGCTATCGATTCCCTAGTCGACGTCCCACCAGCCGTTAAGAAGTACGGCACTAAAGATGCGCCTGTTGATGGTAAGGATGGGAAGCCGCACGCGGGCCCCTTCGTCGACTTCGAGTCTTCTGCTCCCGAAACCACCAAGGACTTGCCTGTTTTGAAAGACCGCCCAGAAGATCCTACAATTGTGGGCGGGAAGAAGATACCCGACACCAACGATGGAGTGATGGACGACCCCAACCGACAGGAGCCCAAAGAAGGCACCACGGGTACAAGCGGTGGTGTAAGCGAGAAGACCAAGGAGAGGATCTTGAAGGAGAACGAGACTGGCGAGAAGGTCGAAAACAAGCCTCAGGCCCCCAAGGAAGCTCCTCCCCTGCCGCACGTTGAGCAGGAGAAGATCGACAGGGAAACACAAGACAAATATGGTGATAAGGCAGCAGACGATGTCACGGGCTTCGAGGTGAGCTTAGCATGTCTACCAGGTTGTACCAGGACCCAGCTAACAATCAGTTCAGAAACCAGCAGATCTCCCCGATAAGACCCACGATAAATCCCCCCCTCTGCCTGACTCGGCGGGTAGAATCGATCATCTAGACGTTTCCACTGGGGAGAAGACGGGAGCCAGCCTCGGCGATTTCGACAAGGGCGCTGAAGGCGTCATCAGGCCTTTCCACTCCTTCTTCCTTTCGTTCACTATGATTCTATTTTCCGAGATCGGCGACAAGACTTTCCTCGTCGCTGCCCTGATGGCTATGAAGCACGACCGCCTTGTTGTATTTTCCGGCGCTTTTGCTGCCTTGATCACCATGACCATCCTCTCAGCCGTCTTGGGACACGCCGTGCCCACACTCATTCCAAAGAAGATCACCAACTTCCTGGCTGCCGGTTTGTTCCTTGTCTTTGGAGCTCGGTTGCTCCGCGAGGGTATGGCCATGAGTCCCGATGAAGGCGTTTCCGCCGAGATGCAGGAGGTTGAACAGGAGCTCGAGGAGAAGGAACACCTTGCCCGTAAGCAGGGCCGTAGGAGGTCGAGCGTTTCTCCCTACAGCCTGGAAATGGGTCTTGGGAACCGCAAGTCTCGCTCCAAGTCCCGCTTCCCGACGCCGCCTCGAAGCCCCTCCAGCTCCCCCGATGCACGAAACGCATCGCCGCGTGGAAGAAACCTTACGGAATGCCTCGCCGGTTTTAACAACCTTGTGTCTCTGCTTCTGAGCCCTGTCTGGGTCCAAACCTTCGTTATGACCTTTTTGGGCGAGTGGGGTGACCGCAGCCAGATTGCAACCATTGCCATGGCGGCTGGTCAGGATTATTGGTGGGTAACGCTCGGAGCTGTTGTGGGCCACGGTATTTGCACGAGTGTTGCCGTTATCGGTGGAAAGGCTATTGCAGGCAAGGTCAGCCTGAAAGTTGGTAAGTCGACAATGCTTTCCCTTTGGATAGACGCATGCTAACCGTTTCACTTTAGTCACTGTCGGTGGTGCTGTTGCCTTCCTCGTCTTCGGCGTCATTTACTTGGTTGAGGGCTTTTATTCGTAGGCCAACATGCTTATGACGTCCCAGCCTCAAATGCGTCACTCGTCCCTTTTAACATCACTACGTCAACGGTGGATCATGATACAGGCTGGGGAAACGGACTTCACATAAATATGGGCTATCGTGACGGTGGATATCAAATTCGGTGTAAAATTGATTAGAAAAACGGAATGATATCATGACACCACCTTAGAATGGGAAGGGTGGAATGGCTCAACTTAGAATGTATTCTATTTGTGAAGGCTTCTGTTGCGACAAGATCATCGTCTATCGCCCTCGTGGAAGAAGCCTGTTCACATTGGCGTGACAAAAGCAGCATGGCAGAGGGATGTGTATGTATTTAGCTGCTGGCAGATTCACCAAAGTTATGCCAAATATTGGATAGTACGGATGCTGGCGGCGTCTGGCATGTATAGATGAATCACGAGAACACCTTCCGAATGACGTGTACTCATGCGGTGTGGTGTTCAGCCCAATACATGATGATACACTATCATGCCCTACTCCAAGTAGCTATGTGAGAATGAACAAACTCAGGTGTAAGCGTATATTATCGGCGAAAGAACTTATTTTTATGTCAAAGGCAGGTTTTTTTTTTCTTTTTTGGCTTGCTGGCTCACGGCTTAGAATTGATGTTTGTCGAAGTTGCACAGTTGAGGTCATGGAGACAAGGGACGGAGCAAGGGAGGTGAAGTTGTGCCTGAATGCCCAAGACTTTGCAAACGGGTGAACTGCAAGATGACGTAGTTGGGGCATCAGGCCTCGTCCCCTCGACTTTATCTGATACTGTTCATTGAATGTCTTCCATGTTGCTCGACAACAATTTGAGTCCTTCAAACCCCCGCACTCTTCTCGAGAACCTAAAAATCTCACTTACCTAACGATCCGTTCAATTTCGTGGTGCTTTTAATCTACAGCTGCACCAGCGCTTCGACCGCGATACCGTCTACCTTCTCTGTCTATCAACAAAGGAATATCACCAGTCTCAACATTTCAGTTATCCAGCTCTACTCGCGATACTATGTCGGGTGTTGTCGAGTCAGTCCAGGCCAAGGCCCAGGAAGTCGCGTAAGGCCTTCGTGTTTGAAGATGTACCTGGCCGGATACTTGACACTGACGCTTAGTGATGGGAACAGGAAAGAGGACTATGACCGCGCCAAAGCCCTGATCAACGATGCCGCAAAGAGCGGGTCCTACTTGTATCCCATCAAGGTGTGTTCGCATACCTTCGCAGTGAAACCTCTCGGCCGGAATATCATGTTGATGATGTTTTCTCCTATTCTAGGGAATCTTCTACTTCTTGAGCCATCGGAGCCTTTGGAAGCCCCTCCTTAAGAAGCTGGCCCCTATCGTGACGCTTTCTGTAGGAGTGGTGACGGGCATGTTTTTCTTCACCTACGTGCCGCAACTCGCCCTTATGACTTTCGTCAACGGACCGCTCGCAGTCCTCACCACAGCAGTTCTCGTATTGAACGAGAGCTCTGCAGTCATTTCGTTCCTCTCCAGGAACTTTGTGATGCAGGATGCCCTCTTGGACACCTTTGACGGTACCCTGGTCTCCAGGGGCGCTACCAATCTCGTCAGTGAAGGCAGAGAGCTGAAGTCGGGCAGAGATCCCATTCAGAGACTGGGAAAGGTTCTCAAGAACCCCTTCCAGCGTTTCAGTCCCAAGGCATTGATTCGATATGTCATGTATCTGCCGCTCAACTTCATTCCAGGTACAGAGAAAATTCCCCCCTCCCCCCACCAATGCACTACGTTTCTCAAGAGTTGCATATGCTGAAACAAAAGTTGGATAGTTGTCGGCACGGTAGCATTCATCATCTTGCAAGGTAGGAGCTCGTCCTCTGTTTACATGTGAAATGTGGGACTAACGTCCGATAGGACGCTCTCGCGGCAGCACGGTTCACGACCGGGTAAGTCAATGACACCTGCAATGCCTTTCTGCTTAACTATCAAAAGATAACGATGCTGATCTTGGAGTCAGTACTTTCAACTCAAGCGATGGTCCGCGAGCCAAAAGGCGCAGTGGCTTTCAGAGCATGCAGGCCCCTATTCAGCGTAAGTTAGCTTGCCGCGATCGAACTTCTGCACAGAATGTGTCCTGCAATCTGTCCAAAAAAAAAAAAAAAAAAAAGAAGAAAAAAAAGAAAGAAAGAAAGAAAGAAAGAAAAAAACACCATCGGCTAGTCTGTCCACAGACGCTGTTGATGCCATAAGGGAACGATTCTCTTTTTGACTAAATCCTCGCTGACAACCGACCTAACAGCTTCGGTGTTTTGGCAACGCTCCTTGAGATGGTTCCGGTTGCCTCCGTGTTCTTCTCTTTCACAAACGCCGGTAAGTGTCACATGAAGAAAACCAGGTCTTGCCTGATGGAAAATGCAAACAATTGACGGCTGTTATAGTTGGTGCGGCACTATGGGCGGCCGATATCGAGAACAAGGAGACCGAGATGACCGATGGCACAGCTCCTGGTCTTCGTGAAGCGGCAAAGAAAGCCGAGTGAGATGGTACCAGAGCAGAAGACCGAAATTTGTCAATGCATCACACAGATGCACATCCCTGAGTGGGAGGTATCTTTGACATGACACAGTTGGTCAATTCGAAGGTGGTGTTGCATGTTGCATCTGCTTGGCCGAAGAGGTACGGCATTTTGACAGCGCAGGATGCTGTGCGACCAGCTCAAGCCCTCGCTTGATTCCGACTTCCAGGCTTTTCCTTCGATGTTTTCTGTCAAAACTTTCATCCGCCTCTTCATTTCGGAGTATTGGGAGGCTAGGACATTATTTCCACCCGGCAACTGCCTCACCATGCTGAATACGAGAATAAGCACGTTTTAATTCCATGAGGGTTCCAAAGTTTTCAGCGTGGCTTTCGAGTGAGTGTTCTAAAACAAGCCTCGACAGTAAAGACTGTCTTGAACTGGAGCAGAGTGTATTGCACGTGTTGTCTTTGAGATAATGAGTGTCTCAAGGTTCCTAAACCTGTGTTGCTCACACTTTCGAAGCTCATATACGGTTAGTAATTAAACCGAAACATCTCAAGGGTTGTCGGGGAAGCAGTTTGAGCGGGCTCGGCTGCAGTACTTGTCAGTTTGCTTCACGGTCGAGGCGTCGTTCTTCTTCCCGTCATTTTTCCAACGGCCGGATACGTCATGCAGGTAGGCACTTTGATGGTGCACAAACCCGATCTCCCCGACCAAAGCGGCGACCAGCTTGACAGGGCCTTCTTCCGCAAGTGCAGGCAAGAGAGTGAACCGACAGGACATCTGAGTCCTAGAACTTTTGTTTTTTCTTGTCACAGACAAACATCGGATCACGACATGGAAGTGAGCAGTCAAATGCTTTCGATAGCTTCCACTAACGAGATATTCAAGAGGTAGTCCTCTCAGCATCTACCTCTCGATACATGGTACATGCTATATCTCCCACGGCGCCACAAACCAAATGTGTGACACTCCTTTAGGAACACCCAATCTACTCCACCGGTTGCTTACATACTCCAAGTACCTTTGTCATTTTGTTTTGACGTCCTTGGCTTTGTAACGGCGCCCCACGGATTGCTGCACACGCTCAACTCAACGCCCACGGAGTTTAAGCCGATGTGGCGCTATCTGATGGATTGACAACTGGAACTCGGCCGCTGCTCAATCGCCAATGGCTAGCTCCTTTTCTGACTCGAGTCTTCTTCCTCATTTTATCTTATACCTTGACCCGGAGACCTTTGCGCACGCTTGATGAGGTAGTCCCGGGAAACCTCCAGTTTGCGGATAGCTATCCCGGCATCCTGACTATCGTGCGAGGACTGTGGCGTTGTGTTCGATGGTGTTACCACGGGAGCGAGATGACACAGGGGGGAGAGTGTACAGATTCAGCCAGGAGCCGAAAGAGGAAGTGTTTTGATGTCGTAATAAGTGAAGAAGAGTCGACAAAGACCGAAGATCACTATGGCCATATCTTGTTAACATAACCTGCAGATAAGCGTTGGGTTGATGCTGTCCCTCACGCGCCTCTGAAGGCAAGGTGAGATTTCAGTTCCACTTCAGATCACGCAGCTCTCCTTTGCAAAATTTGCAGCTGGGTCGTTGATCTAATGCCACAAAATGGCAGATGGAATGGGTGTACGTACGGTAGGTAGCAGGAAGAAGCGACGGGAGATCATCGACGGACACAACATCACCGAACAACAAGCAAACAGGGGCAGTCAAGCAACATTCTAGAGCAAAAAGGAAAGGCTTGGAAGCTTTTCTCGGAGATGCCATATCATCTCAAGGTTCCGTGCATGGAAATCCCCAGCACATCAAGGCCATCGTCAGTCAGACTGGAACTCAAAGACGGAAACTGAAGCGTTATCGTCATGGACACTCGGCAAGTCCAGGTACAATCTCGGGATGTTCCAGTTCCCCAAGTCCTCTGTCGTGTTCCTGTCCGAATAGCAAGAGACTCAAAGCCTCCCCCCACACACAGTCGCATTGTGATGCTTGTCAAGCTGTCGGCACCCAGTTCCCTTCTCCTCTTTGGAGCCAGGAACAGGGGCAGGGGACGCCCCAAAAGGCACAACATCTCTCACCCTGGAGTGAGCAAGGCTGGTAGGTGGTTTTTGATGACCTCAACTTGAACCCAATAGTTCATCAACTGAGGTCTCGAAGATTAAGGGGTTAGTGTCTCTCAGGTTTCAGCCCGGTTAAGCAGGTCTATCTTTTGTGAAGAGCAGTTCTAACATGTCTTTAACAGAAAAGACCAGGTCAACCTGGTGTACGTCGGAGGGTCGCCCCTTCCCTAGTTGGAAAGAAGGTAACAGCAATCTGGGCCAGGAAGGTGCTCTCGGTCAAGTTTGACCAGCCGTGCAGTGGAAGTGACGACCCTCCGCTGCTGTTCGAGGAACGCGACGAAACATGAGGAAACCTCGAACGACCCTGCCTCAGTCATTGATTGGGACACGGAGAATTTTGCAACTGAAGCTGCTGCAGTGGTTCGGGAAACGGGTGCTCCTTCTATATCTGTCTAGGTCTCTCCCTCGGATTTCGCGTGTGTAGAAGGACCAACCCCTCGCCTACTTCCTTCCTCTCATGCCGTCCCTCCCCGATTCTTTTCTTTCCTTTTGTCTCAATAACTCCTTCTTCCTCACTTATTCCTCCTCTTCCTGACTTTCCTCTTTTCACATAGAGGAACGTTATCCAGTCCTTCAACACAGCATCTCGCCAGTCCCGTCGTCGTTTTGCCCTACATTCTTATCAAGACCGTCCGGCGGGATTGTTCATTCACTCTTTTGAATTTTTGGCTTCATGCTGGTCCCTCTTTAAGCCATCCTCCTGTCTAGTCCCTTCCATTCACAGTATCCTTGATCAACATTATTAGGTGATCTGCTCTACATTCTGACATCACACCAAGTTCAGGACTCTGCCTGACCTTTAGTCGGTTGCCACTGCCGTTGCGTCATCCACCGGTCTAGTCGGAGGAGGCAAGAGTCAGCCCCTAAAGATGAAGGTCTCCAAAGCTGTTGTCGGCCTTGTGTCCGCCACCGTCCTCTTCGGCTCCGCTCCTGCAGTGTTGGCAGATGAGGCGGGATTCTTGGCTCGTTTGCGTCAGGCCCTTGGCAAAAGTCATACCAACAAGGCCTCTGACCCTCATTACGATCTTTACGGCGGTTACACCCCAGAGGAGAAGGTTTACAGTTATCCACCTTATGGATATCACCCGCCTCCACCTCCACCGCCTTCTTCGACAACGACAGAATCTGGTGAGCCAACTACTACAACCAGTCGAGGTGAGTCTCCCAAAAAGGCCCAAGCAAGACCGGGCAAGAACACTAACGGTTGTTAGAATATGGATCTGAGACTTCGAGCTCATCATCCTCAACCGGCTCCGAGACTTCAGAGACAGATGCGTATGGATCAAGTACCACCACTCGTCCCTCGACGCCACGCCCTGCTACGAGCTCATCCGGCTCAACTGGTCCTGTGAGCTCAGGCACCTCTCAGACGAGTCTAACAGCCCCCGAAAGTGGACTCTCTTCCTCCATGCCTACCGCTACATCTTCTGGGTTCACAAACAGTTCCTCTTCCACGTCTCCTGAGTCTTCGTCTTCAGGTTACAGCTCCTCTGCACCATTGTCGTCTGGCTCGTCTCTATCAATTTCAGGTAGTGTTTCTGCATCGCCTACATTGAATTCCACGACAACCACGCTAGCATCCTCTTCAACATCTGGCGCCGGGAGAACCTCTTCGGGTTATAGCAGCCAGCCTTCTAGTATTTCTAACACAACATCTTTACGCAACACCACATCAACAGTATCTACTACATCAGCCAATTCTGCCTCAGAAACGGCGAACCCCACGTCAGGAAGTACCACATCATCGACCTCACCTAGTCCAGTGATCTCCATCAGCATCAGTGTTGGCCCCGAAAGCTCATCTCTCTCAAATTCAAGCACTGGGGCAGCAACAGTACCGCCTAGCAGCGAATCAAGCAGTTCTACATCACTCGCTACAGCGGAACCTTTTCCATTCACCAACTCTTCGAGCCCAGGTCCCAGCTTCGGTCCCACTGGCTCGAGTGTCTCGATGCCTACTGGTGGTTCTTCAACTAGAGCTTATACTCCGACGTCTGCGGCAACGTCCTTCCCAGCATCCGGTGGCTCAAGCCTCCCAAGCTTTTCATCGAGCTTGTCGGGGACGTCAGCTCCTCTCCCAATCTCAGCTAATAGCACAGCTACTGGCCCTTCCAGCAGTAGCACCTTGCCCTCGGGCTCTAGCTCTCCGCCATTCCCTGCATCAAATTCAAGCTCGGGCTTACCACCATCTGGAACGTTAACACCGCCCTCCGGTACAAGTGCTTCTGTGCCAATATCGTTGAGTTCGTACTACCCGACCTCGAATTCCTCTAGCCTTCCCGCTGGTGTATCAACCATCGGAACTACATTGCCGGGTACCGGTTCCAGTCCCACGAGCGCACCTACCACTGGCTTCACGCCCCCTGTGTCCGGGAGCATCTTACCATCAGGATCCTCCTTTGCGTCTTTCCCTGTCACAAACTCATCTATACCTCTTACGGGTCCTACTGGGTCAAGCACAACGGGATCAGTCACTTCCCAAGAGTCATCTCTCTCAGCCCCATTTCCGGTATCCAACTCATCTGGAATTATCCCCAGTTCCACCGGAGCCGGTTTTGGTACAGGCTCTTCGACCTTGCCTGCATCATCAACCGCCCCGGTATCTTCCACTTATTTTACTTCATCTAATTCGACTGTCCCCATTGAAACAGGTACCACTCCGTTAGTACCAGGATCTACGGGAACTGGAGGCCCTATCGGCTCGGCGCTACCGACCTCTACTCCTGGCTCCCCATCGGTTCCTTTCCCACTCACAAACAGTACTGTGCCGGCCACCGAAACAGGTACCCTGCCATCAGGAGCAGTTTCTTCCGGTTCCGCACCGCTTATGTCAAGCTCAGCGCCCTTGGGCAATTTTACCGCGTCAGCTCCTCTGAGCTCAACCACTGGATACGGATCCAGTCTTCCTCTAACAGCCACCACTCCTTATCCTGCCGGAAATTCATCATCACCAAACATCGGTACAGGAAGTGGGGTACCTACTATTCCCCTTTCTACACAAACTGGTGCGCCCAGCGTCCCTTATCCCTTGCCGAACAGCACAACTCCTGTGCCTGGGTCTGGCGCAAGCACGGCTCCTCTGGGAACCGGCCCGTCCGTGATAAGTAGTGCACCAACCTCAGAAGCAGGCCCCACGGGTGGTTCTACAGCTCCTGGTACTGGTACTTCTGCTTTACCTCTGAGCTCATTGGCACCTAGTAACTCATCAGGGCCATATCCTTTCCCGAACTCAACCACGACACTTCCTAGTGCTACAGGACCTTCAGCAACCGGTGGTATTCCGTTGACGAGCACTGACTTGCCTATAAGTCCCCTTCCGAGCAGTAGTGCTCCTCTTGGGACTGGAGCTTCGAGCGGCCCGCCCTCTACCAGCAGCTCAGAAGCTTCGAATGCCCCATTCCCCTTGACGAATTCAACATCAGGCTTGCCAGGCCCTACTGGTACAGGCACGAGCCCAATCAGTGAAGCATCGACCTCAGGAGCTTTGACTGAAAGTTCAGTATCCACGCCATATCCTTATCCAAACACGACATTGCCTACTCTTACCAGTGGGACAGGTACTAACCCTCAGATACCTGGCACCGGATCAACTAGTCCTATTCCTACTGGAGGTCTCTCGTCTTCAGCACCGTTCCCTCTTCCAAACGCGACATCGCCGTATCCAATTACCGGCACAGGGTCGCCCACATCAGTCACTGGCACAGGAATTTCGAGCCCATTATCAAGTGCATTCTCCCTCTCATCTGCTCCATTCCCCTTCCCTAATGGAACATTGCCCGTTCCTGGAACTGCCACTGGAACACAGCCAGTTGGGACAGGCTCATCGAGTGTGCTGCCCAGTGTTGCTTCCACCTCCACGCCCTACCCCTACCCTAATGGTACATCACCAGCTGGGACAGGTTCTTTCGGCCCAACAGCTCCATCGTCGGCTCTCAGCTCCTCGGCTCCATACCCCCTTGGAAACTCAACTACACCCGCATCCGGCTCTACCGGGAGCTCACCACTTACAACTACAGGTTACGGAACTTCGGAGACGGCTCCAGCGGCGACACCTTCACCACCATATCCTGCTGGCAATTCGAGCGTTCCGGCAGGCTCTACTGGAACAGGAGGTGGCAGTGCTTCTTTCCCGTCAAGCACCCCTCTCTATCCCACGTCGCAGTTCCCCACGAAAGGACCTCCTTTCCCAGCGGCAAACTCAACCTCGATTGTTGGGCCTTCAAATCCTTCCATCATACCTAGCGGTTCCATTCCTGGGACAGGTACCACGGCGCTCCCAACCGGCCCTGGGGTCATTACGAGCAATGCTCCGTACCCGCTGACGAACTGGACCTCCTCCCCGGGACCAACGGGAACTTCTGTGCCGAGTAGCGGATTTGGTCCTGGTCTTTCATCGAGCGTTGCTCCATACCCATTGTCCAATTCGACTACCGGGAGCAATCCTACAGCCGCCACTTCTTCACTCCCGAGCTCTGGGACAGCAGCAACTAGTCAAGAAACCTCACAAAGCTTGACTTATGCTCCCTACCCGCTCACAAACGCGACTACCACAGCCCCTCTGACGGGCTCTAGGGGTCCAGTTCTGACAAGTCCTACCTCGACGTCACCTACCAGCGGAGTTCCTTACCCATTATCAAACTCGACGGTGACTCAAGGTCCAACTGGTAGCATCGGGACGTCGATTAGCCCTGTCGGCTCTTCTCCTTCGGGAGGAATCCCAACAGATCAACCTGGTGCTGGTAGCTCTGCCCCTTATCCTCTGACTAATAGTACTTCACAACCAGCACCAACAGGGGCATCCCCAGGAACTGGCTCATTGACTGTTCCATTCTTTACAACGCCAGTTGGGTCCTCATCTGGCGCACCTGTTAGCACTGCGCCGTTCCCTCTCTCGAATGGTACCAGTAACGTGCCAACCGGAACAGGAACTGGTAGTGTCCTCCCTTCTACTACGCCTGTGACAGGAACAGTTTCCAACTCTGGAACGGGCCCTATTCCTTCTCCCACAGGCGGCATCTCCAATTCAGCACCATACCCATTGTCCAACTCTACCAATTCTGGCGGACCTACTGCCGGACCTACTGGCTCGTTCAGCGGTTCGGGATCCCCAATCTTTACATCAAGACCCTACACTTCAGCCCCATATTCAGTTTCAAACACGAGCTTGTCATCAGATTCTACCGGTGGCCCAATAACGCCAACCAGCTCAGGATCGGGACCGTCCGGCAGTTTCACCACGGCTCCAGTCTCATCCGGTTCTTCTTACCCATCGGCAGGAAATGGTAGTCTTCCTTCTTCTGCTGAGGTAACCTCGGCACCATATCCCTTTACTAACTCCACTGCTCCTTCGCCAACAGGCACGGCTGGAAGTGGCTCGATGCCTCTTTTCACGCCGAGCAGCTCTCCTTCCTCGGGCCCATCCGGAATCTCAACAGGTGCAAGCAGTGCAGCTTTGACCTCTGATACCGTTACGCCACCTTATCCGACATCTAATGGCACCGCAACCGTGCCTTATGATACGACATGCACAGAAGAGTGGACACCGCCTCCAGAGACAAGCCCATGTAATACCACTGAGTTCTCAGCCTGGCCAATATCAACTCCTACGGGAAGTCCAGTTTCCAGCTATTTCCCAACGGTGTCCTGCAACGAGACCACATTCCTCACCTACTACTCTCCCGGGCCGACACTGCCAACTTCCTCGGGTAGCGTGAACTCAACATCAGTTCTAGGAACACAAAGTGGTATGAATCGGTCCTACATCCCTTCTTGATTGATACCCACTTGCTAACAATGGACACAGAAGGAGAGTCACCAACCGCCACGTCTACAACTGGTTATGGAAGCTCCTCGAGCAGCACGCGAGAGTACACGCCCCCCGCGTCGTCCCCTGCTTATAACCCAATCGACTCCGGCATGGGCCCGCTAGATCACCATCATAACCACAGCACCGGACCATTGTAAGGGTCTTTAAGAAAGCGCAATGGCAAAGAAGAAAATAGCCACAGTCTCATGGATGCTATGTCGCAAAGTTAGCACTGCTCAGCTTGCTGTTGTGGTTACGTCTCTTACGACCGGCTGGGCAAAGAAAATTTCTGATTGAGAATAAGTATTGGTTGGTGTGATTATATGGAAGTCTTCTGAAGCACATATTTCTGTACGTCTTTCTAATTTACTGCTTTCTTGCACCAGCTAGTCTAAGCAGTGCGTTGTCATGTTGTTGTTTTTCTCTGTTTCGGAACAAAGGCGACGGGATTCATTCTGAGAAACATGTTCGGTCGCAATTAGACGGATAATTAATACACTACCTTGAATCACACAGTTCTCCAAATGTTTGCAATAAGTACTATTGCAAACGTTGTCCTGGTGACCGACTGTTTTTGGTCCATGGAAAGGGATAAAGCTGTTGAGCTGAGCACTCCATGGTCCTAGAATGATACCGAAATATTGGCGGGAATGCTGATGCTGATATATGATGCTTGATAGTAGATGCGGGAATAATTATGATATGAAAGGCTGGAGACGTCAATGGCAACAGTATGCTGTCGTTTGGGTGGGTGTCTGGTGTTGTTTTGTTTTGTGTATTTGTTGATGTTCCGTTTTGCCCCTATTTCGATCTCCAACGGGGGTCTGGGCGACAGCCCCAGGGGCCCTGTCCACTGCACAACGCGGGGTCCGAAAGCCGGAGACCCAGTTTCATCCCTACTGTAGCTGTTAAGGAAGAACCTGAGATTGATCGGTTGGTAGCTGCAGATTGCACGAGACCAGAGCTCGTTGAAGGTATTGTCCTAACAGCCTGACAAAGTTTAAGACGATAACTGACGACATGGCTCCTTTGAGGTTCCTGTGCATGATCGCAAAGTTTTGATGTCTATCAGTCCTTTTCCCTTCTCGTCCGGCAATTGACTCTCCATCGCACTGCCGAAGCAACTGTTTTCCATGCCGGCTGGCAAACTGAAGTCGCTGTGAAGCAGGACCACAAAGTGGCAAGAATGGTTCGTTCGTCGGTTTCCCCAAGACAAGCAATGGCTTGTCATTGGTGAGCAGGCCATGCCGACCCCCGAGCACGTCATCCGAGCTAAACCCAACATTGCAACATAATTTTTCTCTCACGCCTGGATATTTTCTTGACTCGCCTTGTCTGACTCCGACTAATGCGGAAAGCACTCCGTTTTGGTTTTATGGAAACCGACGAGTTCGTGGAGTTCGTCCCATCCGCCATCATGGCATTTCCGGGAACCGGAGGTTTGGGTTCAGGTAGCTGGTACTTGCGTGATGCTGTTTCCTGCAACTTTTTGGAGAACTTCGCGAACCTAACAAGAAAAGACCGTTCACCAAATTTGTATTAGTGATGACCGGACGGGACGGAACGAACAAAAAGACGCTTGCTATAATTAGGCTTGCTAAAGTCCTGCCAGGGAGATCATTACACGCGCCGGCACGAGTTATCTCCGGCTGGCGGGGTGAGATGGGAAATTCTTGAAGAGCAGAAGCGCTTCCACTACGGAGGTATGGCATACCTGTGGAGAGAGAGGTTACATGATGGCCTCTTACACGACGTTGATGCCCCTGTTGAGCATTTCCCCCACAACCAACCCTCGTCCGGCAAATGATATACACCGGACATATGTTTCACGATCGCTCACTCTCAGAGGCATAACAGCTACCAACACTATCGATAACTACTACGTTACTGTGGGTAAATCTACAGCCAGAGAGCTTCTTTTCCTTGACCGGGGGCAGGCCTAAAATTTTGTCCCGCCGCATCCATGTGTTGATTTGTAACGCGCTGACTCCGGTTTCTCGGAGCCCGGCTCAGCTTTCTTTCCCTGGCCGAGAAGGTGTTTGTCTGGGGGATTGAATGTTCGAGTGACTAAACCCAGATCCGGACCCTTTCTTTCTCCTCCCGAATCGCCGTTCCATCCGTTTTACGTTAACATCTGGATGTACATCTTCATGCCCACCCCGGTCTCCGCTACCTTTCTTTAGCGGCACTCTGACTTATACCATAAGAACGAACGACAATCCACTTTGGATCGTCAGTCCCCAAGAGGTTATCCATCTTTCTTCTCTTTCCTCTTCTTCTTCCTTGTCCCAGTCTACCATCCTCCCCCTCTCTCTCGTGAACGAACAGGTCTTGGTCACGCCGCCGCAACTTACCTTCTTGCGCCGAAGCCACGAAACTTTAGTCGACCAAGATTCCGTATATCATATTACCATATTCACATATCCGAAATGTCCAACCCTCCCCACGGCGGCGTCCTCAAGGACCTGATCGCTCGCGATCTCCCTCGCCATGCTGAGCTCGAGGCTGAGGCCGAGACTCTTCCCGCTCTGCTCCTCTCCGAGCGTCAGCTTTGCGATCTTGAGTTGATTCTCAACGGTGGTTTCTCTCCTCTTGAAGGTATGTTCTTGGTGTACTTGGGTCCTATCTTGGTTTACATTCCTTCACCATGCCCGTCCTCCGGTTCTGGACGGCGATGATGGTGGGTGGGGTTATGGACTTCAGAAAGGACGAACCCCACCATACCAAACCATGATCCATTGCGCCTCGCTCGTACTCCCAAAAACGACAAAAGCGCTGGAAATGGCTATTGGAGATGATGGACAAGTTGCTAACAGCTCAATTCGTCTCGGCGAACAATAGGTTTCATGAACCAGGAAGACTACAATGGGTACGTGCCTCTCTTGTTTACTTATTACCCCTCCAGGGCGAACCCCCGACTAACACGAGACTTTACCCCAACCAGTGTCGTCAAGGAGAACCGCCTCGCTTCCGGCCTCCTCTTCTCCATGCCCATCACCCTCGATGTGTCCGAGGAAACCGTCTCCGAACTCGGCCTCAAGGCCGGCGCCCGCATCACCCTGCGCGATTTCCGCGACGACCGCAACCTCGCCATCCTGACGGTCGATGATGTCTACAAGCCTGACAAGTACGTAACAAAGATGTGAATTGCAGTGGGGGTGGATTTACACCACGAGGACACACCGGATGCGCGTGGCACATTGTTTGCGCATCTGGAAGACGTTGGATCAAAGAATGTATGGGATGAAATGCGCGCCAAGTGGTTGCGTCATTGCTTGGCAAATGGCCAATTTGTGATACTCGAGACATTTGCGCGGGTGGAAGTGTGACAGAACAGAAGAGCTAACATTGCGACATTTCAGGGCTCTCGAGGCCAAGGAGGTCTTTGGAGGAGATGAGGAGCACCCTGCTGTCAAGTTCCTCTATGAGACTGCCAAGGAGTACTATGTGGGCGGCAAGCTCGAGGCTGTCAACAAGCTCCAGCACTATGACTTCGTCGACCTCAGATGTGAGCAGCAAAGCCCCCTCTCCCAGCCTCCTTTCTCCCTGTAGCTGGCATTGGCGATGTTGCGATATACTGACGCGAGATGGGATGACAGACTCGCCCGCGGAGATCCGCACCCACTTCGACAAGCTCGGCTGGTCCCGAGTCGTCGCCTTCCAGACCCGTAACCCCATGCACCGCGCCCACAGAGAGTTGACCGTCCGCGCTGCCCGTTCGCACCATGCCAACGTTCTCATCCACCCCGTCGTCGGCTTGACCAAGCCCGGTGACATTGACCACTTCACCCGTGTGCGCGTCTACAAGGCTCTCCTCCCCAGATACCCCAATGGCATGGCCGTCCTCGGTCTCCTCCCCCTTGCCATGCGCATGGGCGGTCCCCGCGAGGCCATCTGGCACGCCATCATCCGCAAGAACCACGGTGCGACCCACTTCATCGTCGGCCGTGACCACGCCGGTCCCGGCAAGAACAGCAAGGGCGTCGACTTCTACGGCCCCTACGATGCGCAGTACGCCGTTGAGAAGTACCGCGACGAGCTCGGCATCGAGGTCGTTCCCTTCCAGATGATGACCTACCTTCCGGACAGCGACGAGTACGCCCCCGTTGACGAGATCCCCAAGGGCGTCCGTACCCTTAACATCTCCGGAACCGAGCTCCGCGCTCGCCTCCGCAGTGGCCGTGAGATTCCTGAGTGGTTTTCTTACCCCGAGGTCGTCAAGGTGCTGCGCGAGTCGCACCCTCCCCGCTCCCAGCAGGGCTTCACCGTTCTCTTTACCGGCTACCCGAACTCCGGCAAGGACCAGATCGCCCGTGCCCTGCAAGTAACGCTCAACCAGCAGGGCGGTCGTTCCGTCTCCCTGTTCCTCGGCGAGAACATTCGCCACGAGCTGTCTTCCGAGCTGGGCTACAACCGCGAGGACCGCGATAAGAACATTGCTCGCATCGCCTTTGTTGCTTCTGAGCTGACCAGGTCCGGTGCCGCTGTCATCGCCGCTCCCATTGCCCCCTTCGAGAAGGCCCGCCAGAACGCCCGCGAATTGGTTGAGAAGTACGGCGATTTCTACCTCGTGCACGTCGCCACCCCCCTCGAGTACTGCGAGAAGACCGACAAGAGAGGCATCTACGCCAAGGCCCGCGCCGGCGAGATCGAGAACTTCACCGGTGTTAATGACCCGTATGAGACCCCCGCCAAGGCCGACCTTGTCGTCGACTGCGAGAAGCAATCCGTGCGCTCCATCGTCCACCAGATCGTTCTCTTGTTGGAGAGCCAAGGTCTCCTTGATCGTTTCTAAACGGACTCTTCAGCGGCTGCATGGTTTTGAGTATGCCAAAAGACCATCAAGTGCTGAGTGGTCAATCTGGCAACGAAATGATGAAACAAAAACAGGAAAACGAAAATGGGGTCAAGCCAAGACGAAGTGTAAAAAGGGCATTCCAGGAATGAGGAACTGCTGGTTTCTAGCCCTACAGCATCTGGGTTGATAATGATCCCTGCAGGGTTGCGGCGTTGATGGGTGAAAGGGATGGATATGGAGACAATTCCAAGCGATATGATGATCAGATACCTCAAGGTAGAACAGAACAAAAATGGGATTCGAAGCTTTTTTTTTCCCTCTCGCTCATAGCATCGTCAGCAGCTTCTTCGCGCGCCGGTCTGGTTTGCATTTGTGCATGCTGTTGCCCTGCATATCGAACCGTGTCAGGGACAGTGCAGCAAGCGAGTTACCTTGGATCCGCCCATCCCAATGCCATGATACCTGTTGTTGATTCGACTGTCGTTCGCCTTTCTGCTGTTGATGGTGTGCCCATGTGGTTCCGAGCCTTGGACGAGGGGGGGACCCTTTGGTCTGGTTGGCGGCTGAATGTGCCAACCCCTCTCTACCGTCCATGTGGACTAAACATCGCAAGGCGCTTAACATGCGGCGGACGCTGCAGCCAACGGGTACCCGGCCTGCCGGCTTCAAGGCGTTGATTCAGCAATGATGCCTGACAAGCTCTCGTGTTTGTCCTCCATGGGATGGAAGAGCAGGGAAAGGTTCGTTGGAACACCCAACAATGGGATGAACGGCGTTTGGTGGGTCATGCCCCGTGCAACGCCCTGTGGTGATAAACAACCATTCGGCGTCGAGTTTTTCTCTGCAAAGGCTCCAGAGTCTTTGGGCAGCCACGGCACTGGCGCATCACACAGTGAAAACAACCTGGAAGACTGCCCCTCCCCCAGAGTCTGCCAGACCGCACAGTGTGCAAACGAACTGGGGCCGACGTCGTCGTCAGATCAGTTACCAATTACCATCCCGGTCAAGGTATCGCCAGCCCAGGGCAGGGGCGCTGCCCAGATTCCTTCGACACCTGAAGAACCTCAGTGAAGCCCGAGTTTGAACATTTGATCATACCACCTACTGCGAGCCAGCGTTACTCGCCATCCCACTCCAAGCACTGCAAGCCTTTTGTGGCCAATGATACACTCCTTACAATATCTGATCCAGCTAGACCAGCCAAACCGCCATCCTACCTTCGACCCGACCCACAGTCACCATCGTCTACTCCCCGACCAAAACACACTGTGACAGCGTCTTCTCGCCTACCGCCCGGGCAGTCTCCCAGTCACCGCGCTGCGCTGTCCTGTCTTGGTTCTGCGCTCTTGCGTATTACACCGCGTCCTTCGTCAGACCCGACAGAGGAATACGGAGCGCACTGCAACACCGCCCTCGACCTTTCTGGTTCGAGGCCAACGCCCACCAGGCCCCCCAACACTCGCCTGTCTGCGCGCCCCCCCCCTCTCAAGCAGCCCACCCACCCAACCGTTTTTTTGCCGCCAGAAGCTACAGCAGCTGCGTCCCGTCACTGGTAGGGCGGGTTGCTTAAACCCTGCTATGCTTCACCATGCCGTCCTCTAGAGATCAGGATGTCGACTTCGACAACAACAGCCGCGTTCGTGAGGACCGACTGCCACACCGATCCAAAAGTGACCTACGGAGAGACAAGGACCGTGACCGAGATCGAGACCGCGAAAGAGAACGGGACCGTGATCGAACCACTACCGACCGGGACAGAGAGCGCAGGAAGGAGAACAAGGATAAGGATAGAGAGAGGGACAGAGACAAGGACAGGGAGAGAGACAGGGACAGAGACCGAGACAGAGACCGAGACAGGGAAAGAGAGCGGGACAGAGACAGAGAGAAGGACAGGGACAGGGAACGGGACAGAGACCGCGACTACGACAGGGAGCCGTCCCTCCTTCGAGAAAAGCGGTCATCCAGGACTCCCAGGTTGTTGAAAACCACGGACAGCGATACCAACTCCCGTTCATCGCGCCAGTCAGTGTCTTATCGCCGCCATCGGCCAAAAGAGATGGACAAAGAAGAGTCCTCGATCCTGTCAGGGGCCGCGAGCTCCATGACCGATATAGTTCCGGAGCTTGCCCGGAGCATCGATCGGCCAAACATACCGTATCCTACCTTCAGCAAAGTCCACAGCAAAGACCTCATTTACAGCAAAGAGGATCTCTCTTGCACCCGTACCGATCCGCTCACACCTGATGGCACCGACCTCGGCAACAGCGATAAGAGGCGGTCAATGTCCGTTGGCTCTCGTTCGGCGCCACGGAAGTCTTCCTCTCTTCGGAAGGAATCACGAAAAGAAAAAGAGGATCGGCCGCCCAGCCCACCGGAAACAGACCTGTCGGGTTCTAGGAGGAGGAGATCCGGGACTCCAGTATCTGTGAAGGAAGGTGACCAGGCTCCAGAACGATCGGATTCCAGAAGCTCAAATCGGATGTCGAGATCACGATCTGACGCAAGATCAAAGCTTTCCAAAGTTTCCAGAGTGTCCAGCGAAGCCACGGAGACACAGTCCCAGACGTTTACCTCTCAGTCCAGGCATTCGCCCGAAACCACCCCGACAGAGAATACCGATGCCTCAACGGACCTTTCGACAGTCAAGGGGTCTACGATGGAGTCAATGGCGGATACGGTTCAAATCAGACGACCACCGCCAATTGAGGTCGATTCGTCACCCGAGTCTGCACCAGACTCATCACCAAAGACGCCCACGCAAACGCCACAGTTCCCGCCTCCCGCTGTATCCCAGGAACAAAAGCAAACGCGGTTTGACGCTCCATCTGACTTCACTGCTGCCTCCGAGGCTGTGACGGACACGACCGCTCAGCGAGCACCACCACCGCCGCCGCCGCCGCCACCGCCTCCTCTTAGCATTAACCTTCAGGAAGCGACCCGAGTCGACTATCTCCTGCAGAACGGCGGCTTGCCGCAAACTGTCCCAAAGACATTTCTTGCCGTGTTGCCGCGCCAAAATGGCAACAGACCATCGAACCCGCCTCTGCAGGGTGCTGAGACACTATTTGCACCTTTCTTCAACCTGCTGAACCAGTATCAGACTGTACTCAAGAACCATGGATCTATTGCGGTTGCCACTGGTCATCGAACCGTTGCTCGTCGCCTCTTAGATCGACTGGAGAATGTTTTCTCCCGCGATCTTTGCCCTGATGGCTGCCCGTGCATTATTTGCCAGCACTCGGACGAAACGCATAGAGGTCTAGGGTGGGGAGAAGTCCTTGAGAGGGTCAGCGGCCGGGTCGATCTGCCACAATGGCCGCCTTTTGACCTCGCGTCACTGGGAAGCAAGGCCCAAGAGGATCTGGCAGAACTTCCTCCGAGACCGACTTCTCCCATCAACATGGACCCTGACATTGCCGAAGAGTTTAGGGAACATTATCTGCGTCAAACGAAGCGCGTCAGGGCAGCCGTCGACCGGTGGATGCAAACATGCGAGAAAGCCCCTGCCCCGTTGCCCCAAGAGGTAGATGACGAAACGCTAACCTTTGCCATCCTCACTAACCTGGACCCCGACGACCGGCCCTTTTTCAATGCTCTGTTGTCTGGCTCGCGGGATCTTCACCCGGCAACACGGGCACCGACACCCTCCCCGTTACGCAAACCTCGAAACGACTTTGTGGTCAAGACGGGTCTATCTCTGCAGAGATTATACCGCCTATCTCAGGCCCCACGCGATGCCGAGACGGCAATGTATCTCGTCAGGAACCCAGCCATGCACGATCTTCTCTACACGATCTCTGACATCAACACTTCCGAGTGGGAAATCCTGATATCAGGTCGCTTTGACGGATTTCTCTGGTCGGGAGCAGATGATGATGGATACGAACGAGACACTCCTTTCTCCCGGGGACCGACCCCAGCCAACGGGATGGGAGAGAGGGGATTTGCGTCTCCTCGTATCATGAGCCCAGGTATCCGTAACTCCAGAACCAACACTCCCTTCAGCCCTGGTATGGGAGGCGGCCCTATGTCGTCGACTCCCTTCTCCCGCGGCCCAACACCCGCCTCGTTCGTCAGCGGGACAACGAATAACTCATCATACCCTTCCCGAGGAGCGGTGAGCCACGACGAGGAAACAGAGATCCAGGTCGTGGGCGAGCTGGAGCGCGAAATCTTCAACGGCATGGAAGCGCTCGAAGATGCCTTTGAGAAGCTTCACGAGCAAGCCATGGGAGTGAGGGATGCGTTGAGGAGAAGGGGTGCAGCGTTGGCCATGAGCCTGCAGCAGAAAAGGGGACTCGGGTACAGAGGGATCGACGTGTTGCCTTTGAGCGGGAGCAGTGGAGCTTATGATCGACCTGCCTGGGCCGATGAGGAGAAGATGATGGACGGGCTTGGTGCCGGTGGTGAAAGGTACGGCGCTGGCGGGCCTGGCCAAGGCGGTTATTTTGATGATACCCAGAGCGAATGGGGATTGCAGGATGATATCAGCGAACTGGCACCGGATGATTCGGCGAGCCAGATCAGCAGCAACCGGATGCGGAGGCCGAAGAGGAGACGGGAGAGGGCAACGCCGGCGCCGATCGAGGAGGAAGATGAGGCGTAAGCGGGTTGGGACGGCCGTTCGTAGTTCTTTTTTGTTTGGGTTTTTACACAAGGCGGAGTAATGGTTTGTTTTATGAAAATGGAATAATGACAAGGCATGGATTTTTTTCTTTTTGGGAGGCAATGGAACGAAATGACACGACCCAACATGAAGACCGTTATTCGGGTAATGAAAGCAGTCGGTGAGCAGTGGAGCGAGTAGGAAGTGGTTGGTATGTTTGATAGAGGGCGATGGACGCCGAGTTAACTTGTCGATTGTCGAACCCGGAATGGGCTTGGTTGGAGTTGTCTTTGTACTGATTTATCTTTATGCGGTCCATCACAATCTGTTCTTTATGTATACGGGGGACCATCAATGTATACCATTTTGCGCTTTTCAGGGATTAAATGCTAAATCATAATGACTTTTATCACCGGCCCTGTCAGGGCTGCAATCAAGCTTAACATCCCGTATCAGCGTCTTCAGGTGGGAGGACGCCTGTTGCCGTATCCATGTAAACCGCGCGCCGAATTTTGGTGCCTGTTGGATCTAGAAGCTTGATGTACATTTTGTTTTTCTCTAACCCGTTGTGTGTAATCGTACAACTGTAGGCTGTCCCTACTCATCACCACACAGTAACCGACACCGAACGCCTCTCGCACTATGGAACTCTCCGGGGTATGTCTTCTCTAGGTAGCTAGTTCGACCGGGCACCCGCCTCAGCCAGCAGCGTGACCGTCTCCTGCTCCCGCTCCCACTTCTCTGGCGTCATGGGCTGAACGGTAGAGATGATTCTCCACCCATTTAGCGTTGCCCACGTCTCGTTGCTGACCATGGTTCCGATCACCACGTTCTCAACCAGATCCAGCTCCTTCTCGCTGCCGGGCACGACCTTGCCCCTCTCGTGCTGGACCACGCGCTGACGGCTGGCAATGGACACGGTGACCTGCCACAACAGCTTATCCTTGGTTCCCTGCAGAGGGAAGATCTTGTGGGAGACGACGCGCGGCTCCTTGTTGTAGCGCACGAGCTCCCACGTGCCGGTGCGGCCCTTGGGCCTCTGCTCGATGTTGACCGCCAACGGCACGTACAAGTAGGGGTCGACAATCTTCTCCAGCATTTCCGCGTCGCCCGAGGCGATGGCCTCGTTCATCTGCCGGTGCAGGGCCTTGGTCTGCGCGATCAAAGGCGCCTTCTTGAGCGAGAGCAGCGGCTTCTGTCTCCAGCCGGGCATGGACGAGAACCGGTATTGTCTGGACAGCAAAAAGTCCACCGTCTTGACACGGATGATGCCCCAGAGGTAGGACATGAGCGGCTTGAACTGTTTCGGGAAGCGTGACAAGGGGGGAACGACAAAGGTTTCTGTTTCATGGGTTTATCTTTCATTAGTCCTCCATGGCTCTTCTTTCTGCCTGTTATATAGGAACGGATCAGGATCGTGAATGGAAAATAAATACCTGGGAGAAGAATGGCGGGCGCTTTGCTAGGGTCCATCTTAGCCTTCTCTAAACTCGGCGCCGGTTGCTTGTTGGTTTGCCTAATGGAATGGCCGGAATGCTTGCGAATAGTCGCGTTGGATCTTCTGTTGGCCGCTGCCCTGTTCTCTGAAGTAGAGAAGAGAGCCCGACCCACGGCCATCACTGGCGAGGTTGTCGTCGTCGCCAGCGAGCCCGGCGCGTGGGCGCGCAAGCCCAGCTTTGTTGCCGCCAGCATCCTTAATGCTTTTTCTTTCCCTCACGGCCGACCTTGGCTCGTCGCAACCCTGTCCTTCGGTAGGGTTCGAGATATGGTGTATGCGCACGAAACGGCTTTCCGTGTGACCTCAAGCCGTAGGATATGTTTTGCGCTGGAGGGAGACCGATGCTGTCGTTCGTCTCTAACGGGATGATCCAATGGTCAGTTCCGGCCGTATCGGAGGACGGAGCTCGAAGCGGGACTTGGAACAAGACGAGATCCGGGATCCGTGCTTGTGCGGATTCCCCGTTCGGCAGCTTCTTGCGCGCGACGGACCTGGCAAGCGCTGGGAAAATGGAAATCACCAACAAAACGTACCTACAGCATCCACAATTGACGGCGGTCGAAGTACCTGTACGTGCCGCGCGGACGGGGTCGAACGGGGTCGGAGCCGCTCAAAATTTCCCACGACGGATTTCGGTTCGGCGGGCCATTATTATTGGAGAATTGAGACGACGGCCCCCCAGCATACCACGCCCGCTGCCCGCTGCGAACAATCCACCACCCCGCCCGTGCCGCTCTCCAAGAGCTCTCCAATTGCGCTGACCAATGATTGTCCGTAATCTAATCGGTGTCCTCCGCCAGGGAGACCCCAGCACGACGACGATGAAAGGGTCTAGGCCTGAAGGGTTGCGGATGGAGGAGCTGCCATGAGGAGGAGCTGCCATGCTACGTCGATTAATGACCTCAGGGATCGCCCGCTTCCCGTCGTGGTTTACACGTTGAAAGCCACTTGGTTTGTATCCTGTTCGACTGACACCGCACATCGACTTCACTTTGTTGTATCTCATCCCAAACGACAGTTTTCTTGCGCGCCTTAAACCAATCGAGCGTCCCGCCGAACCTACAGACCAGGTTTTCAACTCCTATTTCAAGCCATTTGCGCGCCAATTTTATCTCCACGTATCTCCGAGTGTCGAAAAGCAGTTCAACGAAGGTCCTTGGATTTGCTGTATGGGCAGACGACAACATCTTCATGCGCAACCGAGCAAAGTCGTCCGCACAGCAGCGGGGAGCGACTCATACCTCCAACTTTGATCCCACGACGGTCGACCGACCCAAGAGCAGAAGCAACGACAGCGTCAGCACACACACACACGCGACCGCCACGGCGCCAGCAACGACGAACGGCAATGGGCTCGTCCGCCGTCTGCCCCAGCTCCAACAACAACATCAAATACCAGGGGCGCCGCCTCCTCCTCTCCCTCCTCCTCCTCCGCCGCCGCCGCCCTACCATCTCCTCGACCATCACCACCCCAACACCATCGAAGCCAACAGCGCCAATGTTCACAACGCCAACAATGCCTCCCACACAACAACAACACCCAAGACAACAGCAGCGACTCCCACGGCGGCGACGGGAGCAGCGACACCGATGACGGCCGATATGAACCACAGCAGTAACAAGAACGTCGATAAACCCCCGAATATGACGGCCCACTCGTCTCTCCTCCAACCCCGCGTCGCCGTCGCCCTAGGCGTGCCCAAGAAATGGCACTTCCTCCTCTGGCTCTGTCGCCAGTCCTCCACCTTTCCTGCCATCTGGTGGGGTCTTCCGAGCGCGCTCCGGCTGCTGGCCATGCTTCACCTGATCGTTTTCGGCGGCAGTCCAACGACATGGCAGCATATTTTCGCTCGGGTAGTAGCAGCAGGTGTAGGCAGGAGTGGTGGTGCAACATCAGCAGGAGGAGGAGGAGGGGACATGATGGGCTGCGGCAGCGGTATTGGTACTGACGGTGGTGCCATGATGATGGGGAGTCCGGATTTCTTGTCGTCTGGTGCTGGTGCTGGTGCTACCGGTGGTAGTAGTAGTACTACAAACTCTGGGGGTGGAAATGGGAACTATAACTACAGCCCGGTAGCTTCCGCAACAGGCTTTTCCGACCTCTCGTTTGAGGCGAGGCTGCGGTTGACGGAGACGTTGCTGGCTATCGTATGGGTAAGCACTTCCAACTTCACGAGCACAACTTTGAACCGATCGGGCTACATCAAACGGTTTGAGAGCTAACTAACCCTGTCTTTCCCCAAAATCTAGTGCGGCGCATCAGCCTACCTCTCCTTCTTCTTCACAGATAGCCTCATGTCGCGATGGTAAGCACAGACAGATCTCTTCCATACCCCCCTCCTTTTCCTGAAAGTTAACCTACCCCCAGAAACTGACCCTTTTCTTCCCCCCTCTTCAGGCTCGTAAACTACACCCCCCAAGCGACCATCGTCCGGCTCCTAACCATAACTACACTAAACGCCTACCTGACGTCCCAAATCCTCTACCTGACGGCCGGCTCGCAAGACCCGCGACTCCTCCTGCCGGCATGGGTAGGCATCTCGGCAATGCTGACGCTGTTATATCATATCACGCAGCGCAAGATCAACATCCGCAAGGAGACGAGTATGTCCATCCGGGCCTTTTCGGTGGCTAGCTTCATCAGCATGGTGGCGTTGCTGGCACAGGTACACTCTAACCGGACCGACTATCCACAAATTCCCTTGTGGACCTTTGTTACCAAGGTTTGGCAGGAGTTTGTAAAAGTTGCTTTGAAGATCATGGATTATGGGACTGTTGCTAGGGACTACTAGAGCGCTCCCGACAGGGTACGGATAGCGTTGCTGGATGGTTGGTGTTATTGGTTCGATTTGGAATACTTGGAATACATAGTCAAAGGCACAGTAGCAAGCATTGTACCGGAGTTTGGAGTCAGGAATTCATTAGAAAGGAGAAGAGCAGCATCACTTCATGGTATGGTATCACAATACAAGGAAATATGAACAAGTCATACACAGTAAAGAGGTATCATGAAGTATTATTGAAACTGTCAAAAGACCGCAAGCGCTGCGGCATGTCATCATGACGCGCAGGCCATGTGTAGCCTTGCATTTCATTCAGTTGGACGCTTCCTGCGTATGACGACCCGAATAAAAGATCCGCCTCGCTAAGTATAAGTCCTCCAACTGCCATCAGTCTACCAACCAAAGCAAGATAAAGCCGGTTAACCATCCTGGGGTATCATGTCTATGCGCCATAAGAGGGCCCGTAGGCGAAATGCGTCGCCTGACGGGGTTACGTCAGCGACCCCTGCCACATGGGCGGCTCCCTGACCCGCGTATCTGTCGGCGGTGTCGGCGCGACGAGCATGTGAGGCTTTAGAAACCGTGGACCTTGATGGTCTTCGCATCGAGACCGAGGCCCTCGTCCTTGTTGGTAAGGAAATCCTTGATCTTGGCACGCTGATCGCCCTGGAGCTGAATCACGTCGCCCATCTTGGAGTCCTCATCGCCAATGATGGTGCCATTGCAGGCTGCAAGCAGAGTTAGTGATAGCCCAACATAGAGATAGAGATAGAGATGATCGAGGCATCGAGCACATACCAAATTCCTTCTTGGCGACCTTTAGGATCTTCTTGGCATCAAACTTCTTGGGAATACCCTGGACGGTAGTCAAGGTCTTGCGTCCATTGCGCTCTGGTAGATAGTGTCAGCATATGGTGTAGGGCGACGACACATGTTATCTGGGATGACGGTGGGGTGACACGTACGCTGAATGCGGATATGGATGTACTCCTGAGTTTGTTTGGTCTGTCCGGAGTCCTCCTCGTCGGCTTCGGCGAAGGGGTCTAAAGTATGTCGCGTTAGTATAGCTGCGCCTTGAGATGCGAACAAAGGGGGATAGAGTCGAATCGCGGTGTGGCAGGATGGGGGGGGGTCCACATCGGCCATGGCAGACATGACGTGGAGCATCACATCACTGTGCTGTGGTCGCGCCGTCTGGTGGTCGATGCAGAGAGGGGAGGAAGGCCGTGGGCGATAAGGGTACGATTAGGTACGATTAGATGCCACGTACCGTAGGTCTTGAGATTTTCGATTGACATAAACTCGAAGTTCGCGGGGTACCTGGGGAAAGGGTTCTGTTGATGGGCGGGGATGCAGCGACCGACGACTGTGGTAGTGTCTCGCTGAGAGGTGTTGGTAGGTTGAGAGGTTGTTGGGAGCTTGTCTCGAAGTTGCTTGGTCAAAAAAGTGCCGGCGGAGGCTACTTTTAAATGATAGATGGATGCGGGCGGTGAATGGATGCTGGAGTTGTTGATGGAGAAACGGGGAATTGAAAGAGAGAGATGGAAAGGGAAGAGGTTGAGGGGAAGAGATTAGTGGAAATAGTGGGGCGTCGGGGCCCTCCCGGTCATAGCTCAGGCAGCCAGGCATCAATTATTGTCCGCTGGGTAAGACGGGCCACGAGAGGCCAAGGTAGACAGAAGTGACCCACCATCAGTCGTGTGAGGCCCTGACCCCTGATTTTGCTAATCGATACAAGGAGGGAACATGCGTCCCGCACATCTGGCCCCTTGTTCCATTCTACGGACTTTACGTTTGCACACTGCTTTCGGATCGTTCTGGACTTGGCACGTTTGCCAGCACATTCTAGACGGAAAGGCCTGCCGTTTACTCACCCACGTTGGCCGCTGCTGAACTCGGTTTGAGATGCGAAGCCCGTTCGAAACCGAGTGCAATTCTCCCGTCGTCGCTGAAGGTGATTTTCATCAGATGAATCAAGTGTCCAGCATTGCCTCGCAGCAGGTACGATTGATGAGTGGTAGGCTGGGTGTACATGCCAAGTCACCCCACCTCGGCCACGAGCATCGAGACTCCCTGATAACTCGATCCGGTGCAGGTTCGGTGACGGGTTGGTCATGTTGTGCAATAGCGACATCCGGGCAACTGGCGCTTTGCATTCAAGCATCGTTCCCCATCGTTCTCAGCCCCAGCGGCAGCCCATCGCGACTGCCCTGAAACTCGAGGGATCAACGGCCAACACGCTGTTTCCGGCTCTTACAAACTACCAACCAGCCAACCTGCCCGCGGCTGCCATTGTTGAGCAGCTTCCCAAATCATACCCAACAATGTGAGGCTGACAGGGGCACAGGGCACGTCAGTTGTAGCGTAATTCCCCCTGTTGGGCGTGAATTCCAGGTGGCGGGACGGGGAAACTGCGGGGGACCCCAGTCGTCTGTATCGCCTCGAGACCGCCTGTCAAAATCCGATTTTGCCTCATCGGCTTCTCCGCGCCTTCTCCAGGCATTCTGGAATCTGGACCCAGTCACTCCAGTCACACCCGACCGTCACTGGCAACCCCAACCCAACATCCGGGCCAACTCTTTACCACGGCAGTGCTCCATCAACAACAAACAGTATCGAGAAGTACATATGCCTAAATTTGCCCCGGAAGAGCTGGCAGCCGATGCCGTCCCGGTCGTTCGGCAGGAGACCACTGGTGATGCAAAACCAGACTGGCGACCTCTCTTTCGTCATAAGTGCACCTTCAACCCAGTCATCTTTCAAGATGTCATGCTCAACTTGATCAAGAACCCAAACATCAACTCATCTTGGCTCTTCCGCGCTGATATCCTCCATGACACAAAGAAGAACATCAAGGATGCGTCTGAGCTGGGAGACGTGCCCGACATCCCATCCTTCGACGGCTTTGGCCTTCGCCGATATATGATTCGCCGGCTTATTCCTCGGAGCACCATGAGGGACAAGCCAATGAATCAGACATGTCTCATTTATCAGAGTGAGGGTGGTGATTCCGAGGGCGGTCTGCAGAGGCACCTGGTTGTCTATCTCCCCCACGTCTCCTCAGAAACCGAGATGCCCTTCTATCACCCTATAGTCCGGGGGATAGCCTTTCATCATGAGTGGTCTCCCACAGAGAAGCGCGGATCTGTTTCTGTCTCCTATCTCTACTTCGAAGGGGGCGAGCGTCCCGAGAAACTCACGAGAACCGCCCTTCACTTGCTGCAAGCCGTATATAAACATGGACAGGGCAGAGCTGACGGTTATCAGAAACGGGTGCACCATGATCTCTTAGTCCCGCAGGCCCGTGTGCAAAACACGTATACGGTTCTGAAGCAGAAATACGCCCGCGCTCTGATCGGGTCATGGGCCGAAAGTACCGATCCTACCAAGCATGTCTTTGAAGACCTCTGCATCGCTGCCTTTCTCATCGAGCTGTGGACCAACATGTACGGACAGAACCCTTTCCCTGGGTTCGTTGACATCGGCTGTGGTAACGGCCTCTTGGTCCATATCTTGAATCTGGAAGGTTTCAAGGGCTGGGGCTTCGATGCCAGGTCACGCAAATCGTGGGCAGCGTACAGCACCAAATCAGAAACCCCTGACGGTGTTCAGGAGTCGTTACAGCAGCTAGTCTTGCTACCGCCGCCTGTCAGCAGGGACGGGCTTGCGGAGATCTCAAGTGAGGATTTCCGGGAAGAGCTAGTCCATGACGGCCTGTTTCCTAAGGGCACCTTCATCATCTCCAACCATGCCGATGAGTTGACGCCATGGACACCCATTCTGGCCGCCATTTCAGAGTGTCCCTTTATCATGATTCCTTGCTGCAGCCACGACCTGACAGGAGCGAGATTCCGTGCGCCAGCGCCCAAAGACAAGAAGAAGGCCGACTCAGCGTATTCTTCCCTCGTCTCATGGGTTACCCAGATCACCACGGATTGCGGCTGGGTAGCCGAACAGGAGATGTTAAGGATCCCTAGCACGCGCAATACAGCGATAGTTGGGCGCAAGCGGCAGGGCGACGTGTCGGCCATTGATATTGGAGTCATTGTGGATCGATACGGAGGCACCGCTGGCTACCTGGAGACGGTAGTGAAGCTGGTGAAGTCTACTAATCCGGATGAGAAGCACTGATAGGGAGGGGCTAAGGCTTTGATTGCTAGTTTTTAGTCAAGCTCGGGGACAGGCAAGTGATCTACCAGCTTCATTCTCAAGCCCAGCTTTTCCAGCTCTTCAACAGCCAGCCGGTCTCTTAGTTCCTCAGTCTCCTGCTTGGTGGAAAGCACAAAGTCGTGCTTCAAGAGCCAGCTCCCCTCCTTCACGCCGTATTCTCCTGCCGTGGCCTCGTCCACCTTCCCTAGTTCGATCAACAAGCTCTTCTTGACACCAAACACAGCGTCTGATGATTCATAAGGGTCACCCTTCAGATATAGAGCGCTAAAGCCAGAGATCCGCATTAGCAAGAGGAAGACTGCGGTGAAGGGATGTGAAAGGGAAAATATACTCACGTAACAAGCGGATCCCACCCATCCTTTTCAAACTTGAAATGCACATGCGCCGGCCTCCACGGGTGACGATTCAGCCTCTCCAGCAACTTGCCCACCGGCCCATCGTGAGGGATCGGGTATTCGACGGGCTTGATGCCCTTGAACCAAAACCTGCCCTCCTCATCGCTCTTCATGACACACCGCTCGCTGGGCGCGTCCCGGTCGGCGTGCTGCACATCGTAATGACCCGAGCTGTCCGTCTCCCAGATGTCGATGGTCACGCCGGGGAGCGGGTTGCCCTTGAGGTCCTTGACCGTGCACAGGGCTAGCATCGGCTCCCCTTCGGGGTCCGAAGTCATGCTGCTGCCGTTGGGGAGGACGGGAGCGTCGTGCGTGTGGAAGGGGCCGAGAACGGATCCCTCGGTGCCACCTGGGGGTGTCGGGTGGTTGATGTTGTCGACGAGGAGGGAGAGGCCGAGGACGTCGGAGAGGAGGATGAATTCCTGTTTGTTTTTGTTTGTTAAAATTGTTCATCGTATGCTTTCGCCATGCAATTTGATCCTTCCATGGCTAAACGTTTCTCTCTTTGATTCCAAATCCTCTCCCCCGGGCTGCAACGCATACATTCTTCCACCACACATGTGAAATAGCTACAGAAAACGCCAAATTGCGTAACTAGAGGTAGTAAAAGCAATAGAAGATCAAAACCACAAACTTACATTCCTCACATCGCTACATATCTTGCCGCAGCTAATCAGAAACTGGAGAGCGGCCATCCACTCGTCCGAGCTCAGCCGGGTCTCGCGCGCAAAGTCGTGCAGGTGCGTCACCAGCCGCGCCATGAGGTACTTGAGCCGCGCATCGGACGTCTGCGAGTTGATCCGGATCGTGTTGGGGGTGATGTTGTCGATGGTTAGGTCGAGGAGGGGAGGGAGGTTGGCGGTCGGGTTGGTGTTGCCCGTGGTGGTGGTGGTATTGGTGTTTTCTGCCATGGTATCTTTTGTATCCTTTTGTTTTCCTTTGGTTCTTGTTTCGGTGGATAACTATTTGGTGGAAGGATGGTTTTTCGATGTTGACTGGTGAGATGATGGCTCGGTATAATATTGATGATGGTCGGTTGGAGTTCAGGATGTCCGGGATACAAGAGGAGAAGAGGAGGAGAGGAGGATGCAAGTAGTGGAAGCAGAACAATCGAAGGTGAGAAATTGAAGATTGGACAAGTAGAGTTCGGTTTTCAAGGAGGATCAATTCTTCACCGAGATCTCATTACTTTAGCCTTTGCTTACTCGGGTATTATAAACCGGCGGCGGAAGGTGGTGTTAATGGTTTGAACCGAACAGACTTGACGCAATCACGGTGTACTTTCGCTGCCGCTAACATCTTGACTACCCACGTTTATCCACGTATGGACCTCTAGTTTCAACCAGTTACCACTACGCTATAGCTAACAAGATCGACAAACTCACCGCTTTCAGGTACCGACTCAACGGAGATGCATGAGACTGATCTGACCATGTTCCAACAAATCACTTATAAAGCAGTTACCAAGCCGCGTAGCGGTTCCGTCTGATAGCTCTTGACTAGGGGCCGCTGATTGGTCGGTGTATACATGGTTGACATTCATCTCTCTATCCTTACAGCTCACCGGACGCTAAAAAATTCGGCTAGGGTGTTAGTGCTTTTCGCGGGCGGTCCCCATACAAAACCCCGCACGCACTAACATCTCGCTACTGCACGGACCGTTTTTCCCGCAAACTCCCCGCAAAAGAAATTGTTAGGCCTGACATTTATTGTGCAATTACTGTTAAGGACTGCTTTCAACCCGTTCGCGTTCGCTCTGGGAAGGGCCGCGGCAGGTTTCCTGCCGCCCCGAACACTACAGGTAGCCTCCATTTGCACCTCCATTTGCACTTCCATTTGCACCTCTATTTGCACCTCTATTTGCACCTCTATTTGCACCCTCATTTGGACTTTTTTTTGAGGGTAAAGGTTTCTGTATTTACCTTCCAGTCTATCCTAGAATCCAGCTCTGCACGGGCCACAACCCTGGATCCAGCCTTACACCCTCAGGGAAGGAGCGAGGACAGCTTGCTGGCCTCCCCGAACACTAGTCTGCACTTACACCGTAGATTGTCCTCACAATGTCAGCCAAATAGGTTAAAGATGGTTCTCATATACTCATCCTGAACAGGTGTTTCTTTGGTCTCCAGATTCCATGGTAGTGTTCAGTTTCAGAGACCCTTTCATTGCTCTCGTTATTTGCCCCTCTACAATAACTAGGCCCTACCCCATGGGGCTTATCTGCTGAACCCCTCCATCTGATAGCCGAACCAGGGGTGACAATGTGGGGATGGCAGGGAGGGGAATGCCTTCAACGTGGACCGACTTTGGGGCGGGCGGGCAGCGGCTCGGGAGTTGGAACCGTGGGGTACCGCATGCATGCACAAAGATCCAGATCACTTTCTTCAGGGACCACTTTCTTCCTACTGTACTCGCTCCCTATTTCTCCGGTCAATGTATGATACATTCATATTGGAACCAAGCAAGGTACATATTACGCTCAAAGCAGACATGAACCTTCTTCATTACAACTTTCACCCCATCCCTCTCTCTTCTCTATCTGAAACAGAAGAACACCAAAGATATTGGCTATTACACTAAAAAGTAGATATGTAAGATATCTTAACCCGTCAAGTCTATGATCTTCAAAAAGTTCTCTGTCTTCGTTTGACACCTTCATCTATGTCCTGCCCTCTCTATTGTCGTTAAAAGTTACTGAACGAGTGTAAGAAATATAGCCTGCCTCCACAACGCCGCCCTTATGCAAGCTATGCAAAAAGAGAAATGGAAAAGAAAAAAGAATCTCCTGATGTTCTCAGCATCAGATAGTGATTGTATGGTACGTCACATACCAACATAAAGGATAGTCATGACCCTTCCTTCAAATGCGTCAGTTCTTACATGCATCCGTACCGATCTGAAAAACAAGAATCAACAAGGATGAACACTATGCCGCTTGCTAGCAGCACTGCTCTTATCAGTCCAGATCTCCGTCGACGGCTGCGGTGTCCAGGATCTCCTTTGCTCCGCGTACTTGGCCAGTGTATCCTTGCTCGGCGTCGACAATCCCGTTGCCGGGAACGTACTGGAAGCCCTGTTGGAATAGGCAACGCTTGGAACGCTGCTGACCGGTCTCAAGCTGCTGCTGCGATTCAGACCGCTGTGGCTGCTCAACCTGTTGGACACGCGGCTGTCCGGGCGGTCGGTGAACTTGGCGTCCAGATGATTGAGCGACGATCGCGAGTTGCGGTAGGCGCGAGAGTTGCGCGGTACGCTGCCCGTGCTGTACCGAGCAGTCGAGCCGCTAACTGATCGGCTACCTGGGTGGGAGGGCGCGTTGAGCGCGGGCCCTGCGGGCGTATCGAGCGAGCTGGTGCTGTCGTTGTCGTTTTCTGGGATTTCCTCCAGGACGGGGAGAGTGTCCTCCGATTCACCGATGCTTGCATCCTCCCCCTCCTCCGACGTTGAGTTCCTGATGTCTTCCAGTCCTCCCATTCCTTCTTCCTCGTCTACGATCTTGGACATGCGCCATACTTGGGCAACTTCGAACGAAGGTTCGACCGGTGCTGCTGGTTCCTGGTTCTTGTCTTTCTCTTGCTTCGGCGGCGGCATGTCGGGTGCTCGCCTTTCCATGTTTTCGAGGTACCGGACTCGGGCCCATTCCATCTCGTCGAAGAATCTCTCCTTGTTCCGCGAGAGCGACATCCATGTCGAGATGATACCGAGGCCGACGAGGATCAACAATGCGACGACCGTGAATCCTTGGATGACAATGATGATGATGCCGAAAGCGGTGACGATGATCCTGTTCAGTCCGAACTCCGGAAAGAACGCGATGGAAAGGCCCGTCGTGGCGATCTTGCAGATGCTTAGAATCCAAATACCCATGGCGGTGTTGCGAGCTCCTTCAAAGGGGTTGATGATGACCATGATGGCGAACGAGACGATATCAAGGACCAGCAAGCCGTAGATTTGCGCATAAACGTTTTGCGCCCCGCCTCCAATGAAGGCCGCGCGGGCGAACAGGTAAGGCATGTAGAACGCGGTAAACCACCACCTCGTGCGCCTGTATCTCGCGGTCATCCAGCCCCATGTCTTGACGTAAGCTTGGTCTTCGTGGACAGTCGGGCGGTCGGGGTCATCGTCAACGTGGCGGATGCGGAAGAGCGGAATCGAAAATACCGGTTGGACCTCCACCTCGTTCTCTTTGAGGGTTCTGAGCCAGGTGGGAGTCAGTCCCGGGAGACAGCCAAGCATCTTCCCTCGGTGGAAGACAAGCTGTTCGGTTCCACACTCAAACCTGCCGGACTTGGTACGGGCGTGAATTCCCAGAGCGACCAGAACGGTAACACCAATGAGAAAGACCGCGAAAGATACACCGGCAATGACAGTTGCATCCCCTGAGCCGCCGTATGTGAACTGGAACATGGTGAGAATCATGACAGCGAAGAAGGAAACGAGGAATGTTCGCTGTAGGGCCAAAACCGTGAATCCGATCCAGTGACTGCGGAAGTAAGGAAGGCTGTCCGCATTCATCACCTTGGTGAGCGCAAGGAGCTCAAGGAACCCCTTGAGGGCCACGACGGCAACGCCCGCCAAGACGATCGCGATCATGATCCAGGTGAGTCCGACAAGAACGGCGTCAGCGGCGGGGATTTTGACCATGGACAAAGTTCCCGAGAATCCAAACCAGGAGCCTGGGAGGGGCAAGCCAAGGCTGACAGGGTCTCCGGCCCAGTTATAGTCGTAGGGGTTGCTGGCATTGTAAGCATGCCTCTTCGTGATCGTCTCTACCGTTTTCTCAGCAGCCTTTCCGTAGATCTGGGATATCAGATTCAAGCCCCCTTTGGTGTTGAGAACCGCGGAGCCAGCGCCTCCAACCTGGCTAGAGTTGCCGTGGAATCCCACAAACGAATCAACAGAGTTCACCAGCTTCGTAGTGTAGATCATGCCAGCGGACCAAGCAAAGTTGCTCCACCATGCCGGCAAGACCGAGGGCCAGTCTAAAGAGAGGGCGCCTGAAAAGAAGATGGCCTGGAAGGTTTCCAAAACGATGAAAACGGAAAAGGAGTGGGCGTAGTGCATCCTCATGTGAGTAACGCTCACACCATACGCGGCTGTCGCAAAAGAGGCGATTATGGCTAGAATCGTGGTTGCACCTAGAGCCGAAGCGACGGCGTCGGGGTGGGAAAAGCTGTTCCCGTTCCTCATGACCGCTTGGAAGCATCCTATTTCCGTCATACTTGAATTCGAAAATATCCGTAGCTTCAAGGTGCCTTCGAAGTCTGGAATCACGTAGGCGATATCCGGAATTCCACTTACGTCTCGGGGCGCGACGGGGATCATGACATAGGCGCTTACCGGTTTGCTGGCAACGAGGGGACAGAGACTGGCGAGATATGAATGAGTGGGGGATCTTACAAAAGATTCGGCGGGCTATGATCTTACCTGCTGATCATAGCGTTGCATGGGTTGAAGGTCATGGAGAGTCTGTTTTCGCCATCTATAGCACGATGTCAGCTATGAGAATATGGGTAAAGGAACTCCATTTGAGCCTTACATGCATCAACGGAGATGTACACTATGAGATCAGTTAGCATGACTAGAGCCGATTTCTTTCTGCGAGGGAACCTTGCTCACTCATTGTTGACTCGTTTCTGATATTGCTTGTCGCGTCGAGATGGAGGACAATGGTCATATTATCAGCAAAATATGCGCCATCGAACTTGGTGACGTTGAACAGACTCTCGCCTCCCATGCAGTCTCCAAAATCACCGGTATAAAGTGCCGGCCTGCGGTCGACAGCTAGCTGTCGGGTTTCTCCATCTGTACCGGTGCCATAGACCCATGCTTTTTGTTTGGTCTGATCAGCTGCAGAGGGAAGGACAAGAATCCCGAGCAAGAGGAAAAGGAGGGCGAATATTCGATGACTTGGTGCCATCGTGAAAGGATTGACTTCAGTTGGTGTTGGCCCCGAGCCAGTAATCCTATGTCCTGGGCGACCCAGCCCCCTTCAGAGTAAAATAGTGAATCGATGTGTTTGTTGTGAATATCCAGCACCAAAGAAGCTCGAGGATCCTTAGTAAGCTAACGTCCGTAGGATGTAATCCAAGGTCTATCAGAGGGAAACCCTGAAGGCGTCGGTATTGTCGATGGGGCGGGTAGAAGAACGAGTGGGGGTCTTGTTTGCCACGGGAGAGTCCGGACGCACGTCGTCAATATGGTCTGAGAATCGACGTAACGAAGGACCACGGCCGTAGATTGCGTAAAGTAATAACCGAGAGTGTGAGGCTGATGATGCTGGTTGAAATGGTGTGGTGGACTTGGTGATTTGTATCAGAGAGCGTCGAACTTAAGGGGAAAGAGTGTGCGAACGTGTATAGGCGAAACACGAACGGCGAGGTTGCGTAAAGCGAGATGTAGTAGACTCAGTGAGCGAGATCCGGCATGAATGTTGGATATGGACAGCTGTATGGCGAGGGAGAGAGTGACGAATAGCTTCTAGAGACGCAGTTTGCTATCTGCCTTAGTCCGATGATGGAGCGAATGAGTGACAATAGTCCGGGTTTAGTCCGTTTGTAGATGCGTGTCTGTGAATGGCAAGTGGTGATGTGTTGTAGCGAGAGAAGGCAAGGCCCCGTTGTCCGGTGCGGGAGACTGAAGGAGGACTTGGAGCGGAAGCAACGGTTTCGAAGTGAGATTCCTTTCTGGAGGACCACCCTTGAGTCCCTATCCAGACTGCCCACGAGGCAAATCTGATATCCACCGGTTCCCGAAATTTCAGATGAGCGAACGGATGAGCTCTGGTACTGTGCTTGTTTAGCTCCCCAATCACTCGATTGGGCAAAAGGAGTGAAGAAAGGGTCTTCCTGAGGAGTGACCTGCAAGTATGCGGGGATGGCTTTTGCAACGGATTAACCAGACACTGCGAAAACCCGGAATACTGCGGTGGCCGTAAGGAAGAAACAGGTCAACATACACACTGCCACAAGCACCCAGAGGACCGAGACAGACGGAGAGGGGAGGAGAAGGGGGTCCTTAGGTTTAATGACCGGATCGTCTCCATCGTTGCTAGGCGTTGGAGCATTTTAATTTGTTGTGTCCACGAACCCGCCAGGGCTACCAGAGGCGAAAATAGGCCAAGAGCCATTTGTAAGGTGGAACTCGCTCAAGCGAAGAAGAAGCGATTCTTTCGTCATGGATGATGATATAAAAGGAGAGGGGAGGAAGCACACCGACGGACAGTCCAGTTCAGTACTGCTGTGCTCAAGCAGCTCCGGTGAAGACGGAGATAGACAAGAAGCTGAAGCCGTCGCTGCGTAAACATCTGGAAGTCTCAACATCGAAGGGAAAATCCGTGGACAACGGTCCAAATGCCGAAATCCTTAGCTGGATCGACTCAAATCCATGCGTGGATAGACTAGACCCACTTTTCTGGGCGCCCAGCCAATCTCTGGCTCCCAACCGCGCGGCGCCCATCAACCTCACCATATCGCTAGCCAAGTGCATTCATACGCGCCCTCTTTTCATGCTGCAATTCATTCGAAGCTATCGTCATTTCCGTCGCTATCGCTGTCGCTGTCGATGTTAATGATGTCGTTATCATTGTCGTCGTCTCTATTGTCATGGGATCACCCCAAGTGCCAAGTACTTTTGGTGAGCTGAGTAGGGGGCGTAGAGGGCGAACTTCTAGCACCCTCCCCGGTACTTACACAATGAGCAGCACTAACAGCGAAGGCTTCACGTACAACACCCGGACCAAGGCAGCGCGGGCGTTTGAGATATCAATATAGCAGGCGACGACACCAGTATCAACAGCTTGACTGGATTGACGATACTGAATAATTTTATAAATATCGTGGATTTGGTGATGCGCCCCGGAAGGTTTTGCGCGGCTCACGGCTGGGCGCCCAAAAGAAGTGGGTTTAGTCTATCCACGCATGGATTTGAGTCTATCCAGCTAAAGATTTCGTCCAAATGCACAATTTATGTCCCCTGCCTAGTTAGCCTAGACACAGGAGGTACGTAGCAGCACCGATCTAGCGATCACCCAATGGTGTTTAGCGAGCGCCAAGGGGAATCGACAGACCGGCAGGCGAGTGCCGGCGGATGAAGAAGCGGAAGAAGCCATCCAGCAACGGCTGGCCGGCAGTCGACAGAGTCCGACGGGATGGGTTGCTGTCCGAAAATCGACTGGCGGCCAGGATGGACGGGCTACCGAAGTGCCCGAACATGTCCGCTTCCCCTGCCGAGCCGAGTGCACAACTTGACCATCCGGAAAGCTCGGCCCACTTTGTAGCCGCGCTAAAGACTCGGCGATTTGGAATGATGCAAGACATCGATGCTCCTGTCACATCATTCTTCTCGGTGTCAACTTTTCGAGTGCTCCCAACGATTGAGAACTAAACAGTTTGTCAATCGGTGAAGTTTGAAGGTGCCACGTGAGCATAGAGGTAGCTATGTATACGTACGCGTTTTCTATGGGGTGCTCATCATGAAATTGGATGTCCACTCGTTGGCTCCGCTCACTGCTAGCGAATTCCGGCATATGGGATTTTGGATTTTGGCCCAGATCGCCAAACGGCGCGGCGCATTTCCCGGCAGGCAATGCCAAGCTGCAGCATTCTGGACCTTGCACTGTACCTTTAGCGCAGCAGGGAACAACCACCGCTGACAACACATTTCGACAGGTTGACAGAAACATTCATTCCAAGCAGCAGGCCCGGAAAGAGTACGTCATGTTCCAGAACATGAGTCTTAAGAGCGAATGGTGGAGCGCGAATGTGTCGTATTGATTCAACGAGTGAAGTAATAATCGCGTCCATGATGCAAAGTCGTCGTCGTGTGATCTTGGACTAGAGGGCAAAACGATGTGTAGATGTGTGTACTATAGAGAGAAGATTAGAGAAGAAAGGGAAAAGAAATGTAGAGGGCTAAAATACAAAAGGGTGTGAGGGTATAGACCTATATAATAAAATAAGGGAGGGGTGGGGATATGAACCCACCCAACAATACGCCCTCGTAGCCCGAAACGGCTTCCAGAGACCATTATAAATAAACAAACAAAGAACTATAGTATTAAGAAATCTTAATCCCCCCAAGGAACCTTTTTAACTTCTAATGCCAACATTAATACAAATCTATTATATTTATTTACCTTTAATAGTTTCGTTAAACCCTCTTCAATTATCTCCTCTCCTTTAATATAAATAATATCGAATTCTTATGCTTCGACGTTTTTAATAATCTATTTGAATTTAATATTTATATACTTATTCCTTCCTGGCAATTTTTCGATTCAGGACTCTATCCTAAGTATTCTTACTATCTGAATATAGACTTTTCAGGGGTAGTTAAATATACCCTAAATCGCCTAATATATATATAATTTATTATAAAGATTTTGCCGTTGGTACTAGGTTAGTAAACTCTACTTCCGTCGTACTAATTATTACGAATACTTACTTTTTAGATTTCTAGAATATTAATCCTCTAGCTATAAATATTATATAGCTGCTAATATTATATTAGGTTGCTAGATCGTTAATAAAGGAAGTAAATACCGTATACTTTTAAATCTATATTCTTTAGCAATAACCGGCCTCCCAAAATAATATTTATATTTACAATTTTTATTTAATAACGAAATAAATATTTTATTACCGCTATAAATCCCGTCGTAGGCTTAGCGTTTACCTTATATAATTTATTAATAGTAAACGTAATATTTAGCTTTATACCTATAAGTAAATAATTTAAGCTACTAATCTTCTTAATATATTTCTTTTATTATTCTAGTAATTCGTCTCCTTCTTTATAATTACCTACTTTGATATCTATTAACTATAATATATTAATACTGTTTAAATTATTATAGCCAAACTTCCTTAATAAATATTTCGTATACCGAATTTATGAAATAAAAACGGTCCTCTTCTCCCTATTCCTTATAATATGAAAGCCTAGAAAAGTCTTTACTTTTCCCAAATATTTAAACTTAAAATAATTTAATAATTTGTTCCTAATATCGAAGATAACCGACTCAAAAAATATTATAATAAATAAATCGTCGACGTAGAGTACTAGGAGTATACCTAATTTAGCGTTACTAAATAAGTAAGTATCGTCGATAATTAATTTAAAATTAAAATTTCTTAAAATTGGGAAAAGAGTTTGAAATTAGTAGAGAAGCGCCTTTTTTAATCTATATAAGGCTCTTCGAAGGAGATATATTAAGCGGCGTTACTTATTACGGGGTCCTTTCTTTAGACCGGTTGGCTACTTAATATAATATTTCTTATTTGGAAGTATTAAAGTATTTAAGAATATTATATTGAAATCGAATTAATAATATTCTAAATTAAGAACCGCTATTATCGCTAAGAATATTTTTATATTTACTACGTTCGCTATAGTAGTATATACTTTTTTAAAATCCTATAAACCTTATTTAAAATCTTTATAAGTAATCTATTTAGTTCGAATATTCTTAGTTTTTATTTTTAGATTTTCTTTTTCATTATAAACCTATTTTCCTAGTAAGACCTCTATACCCTCAATATAAGGAATTAAATTATAAACTTCTCTTTCTTCTAGGGTTTAAACCTACTTTTCTATAACTAGCTTCCAATATTTCTTAAAGTTTACTATCTTTCTAGCCTATCGATAATTCTTAAGAATATTTAATTTTATTTTAAAATCGTATATTATTTTAATAGCCGTTAAATATAGGAATTCTACGTTTTATTAAATAACTCCCCTTTTTTATAACCAGTAATAAAAAATAAGTATTATCGAATTTCCGTTTTCGTTTTTCTAAAATTTACGGTTATTATTAACGACCTTTAATTTATTCGTTATATTTTTTATAATTAGAATTACGCGCTTCCGAAATTTGCTCGAAGCTATTATTAGGATTTCTAAGTTTAGGGAGGCTTAACATTAGTTCGTTATTAGGAGCTCCGGGTCCAAAGAGGTTCGATATTAGTGTATAATTAGGGCGTTCGCTCCCGAAAACGCTTAGGGTTATTCTACTTCTAAATTTTCTTCTCCCAATTACGTTAAAGGATTAAGCGAGGAGGAATATTATAATTAGTTACGTAACGATAGGATGGGTTCTTTACCTTCGAAATTATATAAATTAATAAATGCCGAATAAATTAAAGATTCGTCAGATAGGAATATTTTATTAGGATTCTCCTTTTCTTTATTTAATATTTTCCTATTATTATTATTTTTAAATAATTATAATATATCTTTAT